AGAGACACGGGATTGGCTGAGGCCAGGTGGTCCAATATGTCTGCGCCCTAATCCGACGCCACACCACACCACACCACTACACCACACCTTACAGCACGTTTTGGTCCCTAATTTTGGCAGGTCGTCATTAAGAGGTATGCAAGTTCGTCACCTCATCTTACATAGGATCTTAGTGTTTTTGCACGTTAAGGAAGCTTAATCTAGTACTATTCAATATTAAATAAATGGCATTGTCCTCTCCTTACCATGCCACAGTAACTAAAAACGTTGGTTGCTATTACAGCCCTTATCAAACTGTACTATGCATCGTTATTTATTTGAGTTTGAAGACTACATTGAAAATTAAGTCCTTTTTTCCACGATTATGAGATAACTTGCTTTCAACTCTTCCTAAGGATGTTCTTATGTCGACATAGCTATGCTATCTAAACGTCGGGTTTGTGTATCGTGCTTGCTAATTGTCGGAGGTTAGCTTATTTGCCGTTATGTTGATACCTGCATATTAACTTTTTTTCGTAGTCCTTTAGCCACAGAGTCCACCTTCGTCATGGCACGCAAAGGCACAGCCAAACTTTCAGAATTGCAAAACATTGAATTTATTGTTCAGAAACTCTGGACAGACGAACACCTCTTCGAGGTAAACGCTCCCAACGATTTCAAACAACAAGGAAAATTCTTTATTACATTCCCGTATCCTTATATGAATGGCCGCCTTCACCTGGGTCACGCTTTTTCCATCACCAAAGCTGAGTTTGCTGCAGGATTTCAGAGCTTGAAGGGAAACTCCGTCCTCTGGCCAATGGGTTTTCACTGTACGGGCACGCCCATTAAAGCCTCTGCAGATAAATTGGCTCGTGAACTACAGCTTTATGGCTGTCCTCCAGTGTTCCCCGCTAATGTGGACGAGAAACCCACTTGTGTCGAGTCAGAACAGGTGGTGGTTGATAAATCAAAAAGTAAAAAGAGTAAAGCCGTAGCCAAAACTGGGGGCATGAAGTATCAGTGGCAGATTTTGTTGTCAATGGGGATCCCCGAGTCAGAGATTCCCAAGTTCACAGATGCAAATTATTGGCTGGTGTATTTCCCCGTGTGGTGTATGCGAGATCTTCAAAGGCTGGGCCTTAAGGTGAGTTACATTCCATTATTTTAGGATAAACCCTATCGGTGTCACTTTCATGAACTGCGGTAAACTTTATTTTTAGACAGACTGGCGGCGCTCATTCATCACAACCGACGCTAACCCCTACTACGATTCTCTTGTTCGCTGGCAGTTTTTGCATCTCAGGAAACGCGGCAAAGTTGCGTATGGCAAACGGTACACGATCTTCTCACCAAAAGACAATCAACCATGTATGGATCACGAGCGAACCGTTGGGGAAGTATGTTTCTATTTTCTTTCGAATGCTTGCCACCTCCATATATAACACATGAGTTCCTTTCTGACGCTGGTGATATATTTCTCATTTATTTATCATTGAGGCAAAAATAGGTTTTGTAAAAATCGGTCAAGTGATTAAATAGCCATTGTGTGGTGTCTGGTAAATAGCTGCATTTACCTTGTACTAGTTTATGTCGTGATTGAGTTCATTTCAAGTACACTTATAACACACCAGGTATCTGCATTTCCGAACCAATTTCGCTTCTTAACTGTTCTGTTTTTTGTCATTTTTGTATAGGGTGTTTGCCCCATGGAGTACACCCTCGTTAAACTACTAATTATCTCAGAATTGCCTGAAAAACTTAAGTAAGTCGCAGCATTCTCACTAACTTTTCTGCCACAATTTGTTGTCTTACCTTCGTCTTGTAGAAATGTTCAAGGGTTGGAAAAAGTATATCTCTTGGCTGCCACGCTGCGACCGGAGACCGTGTACGGCCAGACAAATTGTTGGCTCCATCCATCAATCGAATATGTTGCTGTCCGCTCAAAACGCTTCTCTTGTATATTTTTGCTCACACAACGAGCAGCGCTTAACATGGCCTACCAGGTATGATGGTCAATTTTGTCACCAAAATTGCTAGTTTCAATATTTTGCAATCGTGTATTTGGTTACTTTTGTTAGTGGGCTGTCTAAAAAGTTGAACAGAAGTCAACATCGGGTCTAATTTTGGGATGTTATGTTTTATTGGACTGTTCCGACCCTTGGGAATTTGGTTTGAACTTAGCTAAGTCAGATCATCACATATTTGATGCTGACGACCATCGTAGAAATTGAATGTTTCCTGGTATGTTTTTCCCCACCATCATGACCCTAGATGTTGCTACATTGCCTTAACAAATGGCGTTTCGACGCAAGTTATTTACAACGCTTTCTCTCTCGTCGTAAATAGGATCTATTGGACCCTGACCAGCCTGGTAAGATGGATGTTGTGGCCAAGCTTGTGGGCGAGGAACTCTTGGGTCTCCGCTTGAAGGCTCCCCTAAGTGTCTACGAGCATGGTGTCTACACTCTCCCAATGCTTTCGATATCCGCTACTAAAGGAACTGGCGTGGTGATTAGTGTTCCAAGTGACTCGCCGGATGATTTTGCTGCTCTTCGCGACGTAAAAAGTAAAAAGGTTGGTTGTCCTTTCCACGTTTCGCAATATGCAATGATCCTGCTTTATTCGGTAGATGTTTGTGCAAAGCGAATTTGGATTACTCTCAATCTACATTATAGGTTCGGTTAGGTAAAGAACACAGTTAAGTAGCACAACCTTGATGGCGTCGAAAAGTGAACTTTAGAAGATATCTGTGTTTTTTAATGTGGTACTCGCTTGGTTTTACATTGCACGATTTCCCTTGTCTTGTGGTGAGGTTGGCTGCATCAATTGAAAGATTGTATTTAAGAATACAAGGTCGCAAATTTTTCTCTCAAAAAATGCTAATAGTACTTGTTTTACGCTGCATCCCTTGTACTTCGGTCTAATGACTCCAGCACAAACTTGCACAAACTATTTTACGGTGTGATTCCGATTTCCCGAAATCAGACTAAATTGTGTCTTATCTAAGTACACACTGCGTCATCGGTAGTGGTAAAATTATCCTCTTCCCCCTTCCGTTTTGCATTTCAATTTTACACTACACTTCCTCCAATTAAATTTTACTTTCTGGAGATTAGTACATCGACCTTGCAGAAATGATAATGAGACTTTATTGGACTAGTTTTTATCTGGAATTAAATATCATCCGGCCCGAATTTTGTGATGGCGGAAGTAGTAGGTCCTTTTTCTTAGATCAGCCCTACGTATTTAACACGGACTTGCATTGTCTAAAACCATTCAATTTCCATGCTTTTCTTTTTTGTTAACAGGTATGCTTTCTTAGTTGATCATGTTTCATGTTACCCCAAGATTCATAATAGCGAACCCAAAGCGGTAGGAATTTTAGTGCATTTTTCCTGTAGGCCTTGCGTGAGAAATACCGAATAACCGACGAGATGGTTCTCCCCTTCGAGCCAGTGGAGATAATCGAGACGCCGGGTCTGGGCAAGCTTTCCGCAGCTCGATTGGTCGAGGAGTTGAAAATTACCAGCCAAAACGACCGTGAAAAATTACAGGAAGCCAAGGAAAAGGTATACAAGCTTTCTTTCTACGACGGTGTCCTGCTCGTGGGCAAATACGCTGGCCAGAAGGTGCAAAATGTCAAGAAGTGCATTCAACAAGAACTTATCGACTCGGTAAGGCGTTACACTGCAAGCCTTAAGTTCATTTAAGGATGGCTGCATTTGTTTATTCTTATGCCTTGGCGATAGTAAAATGCTTTTGACCCGTCTGCCTGACCACTTTCTCTGGCTTCCAGGAGGCGCGCTATCCGTCGTCCCTTGTAACACAGACACTAAACTAGTGCTCCGGTAATTCGCTCTGTCTGACACGACGATTTCCTAAAGCTCACACTTAATGCAATCTTTGCTTCGTTGCACCCTTGCTGTAGTCACACCTTTTCACCACTGATGGTGGTTTATTCGATAGTTTGCAACTGCTAGTTTGCTATCAGCTAACTCAAGTATTTTCACGTATCATTACATAAGTTATTCAGTTCTCCGCTATAAGACAAAGCCTTACTACATGATGCGATTTTCGGTTATTGTTTGGCTTGTGTTGCGAAATGACCTATGAAACTGTATTTTGACGTCCATTACACAGAAATTGCTCAGTTATGTTTCCTATCCACTTTCTTGGTTAGAATGACGCCATATTGTACTACGAACCCGAGAAACCTGTTGTAACCCGCAGTGGTGATGATGCCGTGGTCTCGTTGTGTAATCAGTGGTACCTCGACTATAGCAATGAAGACTGGAAGAGAACAACCCGCGAATCTCTCGCCATGGTGGACATAGTTGATGAGGTCAGTTTTTCCTCTTGGTAACTATTACAAATAATATAAGATTATCGCTTTTAAGCCCTCCAAAACAGTCTTTATGGTATATTCTGGACAATGTAAGTTGAGGCTGAGTTATAAGCATAAATTCAATTCAAATCAAAGACAATTTCTATGAACAATTTCATCGATGACCATGCCCTGTATAATCTGGAATTTTCAATGTAAATTAGCCATTTAGAAAGGATTTCTAGTTGAACTCATCCTGTCTATTAATCTTCGTCTATACTGTCCCAAATATTGATTTCATTGCCATTTGTTCGTAGCTGAATGTAAAAAAATAAAGTGAACAGACGGTTGTTTATTAGTTTGTCTTTTTCAAATGTACGTAGGCTCGTAACAACATCGAAGCAACCCTTAACTGGCTCCAAGAACACGCCTGTTCGCGTAACTACGGTCTGGGAACGCGTCTGCCGTGGGACGATAAGTGGCTCATTGAGTCTCTCTCTGACTCAACAATTTACATGGCCTACCAGACTATTGCTCATCTTCTTCATGGCGGAAACTTTGACGGGTCTGCCTGCGGTTCGCTAAATATTTAGTGCGTTCTTTTCGCTTTCTCACTTTTTTTTACGGAAGCTGCTTTCCACACTGATCTCTTTAGTCATATTTCACTTTGGGCATTTTTCCCTAAAGTTTATTTTTCATACCCATCTCTGCCCCTTTCGCATATGGTGTAAACAATTAATCCAGCACCTAGTTGGCCTTTTAAATGCAACTCCTATCTTGGTGAATTTGCCCATTTTATCCAGTTTAACGCATCTTCTAGTCGTCTTATTTTTGTGCTGTGGGTTGTATTCGTCTCTCGTCTACATTTGTCAGTCCCGAACACATGACTCCCGCGGTATGGGATTACATCTTCTTTGGCAAAGGTGACCCTGCTAAGCTTGCTGCCGAACGCTACACCTCCGTAACGGTGGATTCGCTCAACAAACTCCGTCGAGAATTTCTCTATTGGTATCCCGTAGATTTACACGTTAGTGGCAAGGACCTTCTACCAAACCACCTGACTTATTACCTCTACAACCACGTGGCAATATGGCCTGAGTCACCAGAACTGTGGCCTAGGGGCATTCGTGCCAACGGCATGTTGCTGCTCAACTCGGAAAAGGTTTGTGCTGCTGGTTTAAGCATACTTTATGTTTGCTGTTGACGCTTACGTTTTATCCCCTTGGTAAAAAATTCGGGAGTATGGTAAGTGGGCGTAGTGTTTACTTCAGCTCTAACAGTTGCCTCATCATATTGTTGGGTTCCCTAATGGCTCCGTCTAGAATGGGTAATTTTAACCCAAAGTACGATTCTTAAAAAATAAATCTACATTAGATATATTGGTATTCACTGTATACACGCTCCTTTACATGTCAATTACGAGTTAGCAGTGCCTGGATTTAGGAAAAGAAAGCGGATTCTAGGCATCAGTGCCTGATTGACCTCACAATGTGTAAGCACTGGATGTCATCAAGTGGCGACATTTTTGCAGCACTTTCAACTCACCTTCTGTATGCATTTTTTGTTCTGACTCCGACACAGTGAACTCGTCAAACATTACGTCCAACTTTGTAATATTGCCTAACAAAATGCGGTTATAAGGCGTGTGTTATTTCTCAACACTTGGTTTTATAAGCTGGCTGTGCATTTATCTTCACTAGATAAGCGGCTGGTTTAATTGTTGTTGCCTTTTGTTCGTTGTGATTTTTAAAATGTAAGTGATGTTGCTATGTTCTGATGTGTTTGAATTTTTCTAGCGGGGCTTGTTCCAATTGTAAACCATGTGTTCGCGTACATTGATCTGATGATAAAGTCTCTAGGATAGTGTTAAGCTTATTTGTGCTTTTAAATATTCTCACGCGTTGCAGCTTTTACCAGTTTATGTTCATTAAAACTGCTGGTGTGAAATGGTAAACAGCCCAGTACTTCTCTTGACACCTCAAAGCACTTCACTTAATTCGAGATAATTTCTTCCCCTTTAAAACAAGTAGTAGTCTAATTTTAATTGCTGTTCTCATTAATACCCTTTTAGATGTCAAAGTCAACTGGGAACTTCCTGACTCTTTCAGATGCAATTGACAAATATTCTGCTGATGGTAGGTGTGCATATTTTCTATTCGAATCACTAGTGACCCATGGGGTCGTCTGGCTGTATCAGTTCATTCCTCTGTGAATAATGGGCTTACAACGTTGAACCTACTCTCACAGATCTTGTGTTGGTCGCCTCTTTTAATGCGACTCTTTTTTGGGGGTAAAGTATGGATTTCAAATGAATTCACTGCAATATTACCTTGTTCGAGTAGTTTTGCAGTGCTTCATCCTATCCTGCAACTGCCATTTTAAAATATCCTAGTAATCGCTTACTACTTACCAGTAAACTTAGAGTGTGGGCAAAATTAATGCATGATTTTTTGAATTATTTGAAGCATATTAGATGGGGATCCTGTTCAGCGCGTTCATTTTCTTAGGTAATCCTACGGTTTAAATCAGGTGTCAGCCTTGATAAAATTGTACGGATTTGATTTACCTCGCAGGATATGTCCATGCCGAGGGCATTTTGCCTCTGCTGTGAGGTCCATCATTGTAATGAAAGTAATCTACTCCTTAATACAGGTCTGCGTTTGGCCCTTGCGGACGCAGGTGACACATTGGAGGACGCTAACATGGAAGAGTCGATGGCCGAAGCCGGTCTCCTTCGACTTTATGCACTTTACGAATGGATTGCCACAACTATCGAGTCGCTAAGGGACCCTGTTACTGCTGGCTTCAGAACGGGACCCATGGACCTTCATGCCGATCGTGTGTTTGAAAAGTACACAATTCTTTACCTACCTTCATTCCGATTCTCTAAATTTCGTCGTCCACTTCCATGCATGCCTGTGAGGCACGTTTGTTAGTCATCACCAGAGAACAGTGCCTCTTTTGAAGGTTTCAGCCATTTGCCAGCACTGTGGCTTTTTCTAGATCCAGTTTCTCGTAATTTGGGTTCTTATATAGTTTTGCACTTTTTGTGTGAACACACTGAGACGACTCTTCTGGACCATTCCTCTCCACAGGCTTTGGGTCATGGCCTTGTGGAACTAGCGTGTAGGTAAATAGTGGCAAAAACAAGTACTACCGTTGACAATGTTGGACCGTGCGGGTCAGGTTGGCATATTGACACCGCGCACATAATTTGCTATATCGCAATGTCACCTTCAAACAGCCACCCTCTTTGGGAAATATTTTCATTTGCGTGCGATCTTGCTTCTTTCTTTCGTTCTAGTGACCTTCGTCTAACTATCAAGAACGCTGATGAGTATTACTCTGCTCAGAACTACAAAGAGGCTCTCCGTGTGGTTTTCTATGAATTCATTGTACGGGTGTCTTTTCTCCGATTTTCATTCGCTGATCCGTTTTTTAAGCCTCTTCTTTATAAATCTTATAACAAGAGTGACAATGTGTAATCTGTGAACACAGACGTAGGTTGTTATGGAACTTTTCAATTCGAATTTCTTTTTGGCTGGAAAGTACCAAATAAGGAGACTGTATCGTTGTTGTTTAGGTCTCTCAATGGCTTCTAGGTGCGATTTTAAGGCAACTTGCATGTAGGCTGTCGTGTTTAATAAACAACGAACTAAATCTGACGTGGGTGATTCGTACCGTGTACTTGTGCGAGTGTCGCCGTTATTAATCCCCTTCCTCTCCACAGGCTTGCAAGGATCGTTACCGGGAGGTATGCCAGAGTCGGGGGATGCACGCGACCCTGGTTCGTCGGTACATTGAGCTACAGGCCATCCTTCTCTCGCCCATCTGCTCGCATATCTGCGAGTTCATTTGGTGCAATTTGCTGCAGCACGAACAAAGCATATTCAAAGCCAATTGGCCAAGTCAAGCAGATCCAGTTGACCGGAAAATTCTTGCTGAAGGTTGGTGTATTTATTGGATAGACAAATTGCCACCTTCGTCGCATAATCTGGCCCTCCCTTTATACTTGCATTTTAACAAGTCCCTCAAGATTTTTTCACCCGTGTTTTGCTTGGCTTTAAACGAGGAAACATATCGTGATGGCATGTCCATGAGACGGTGCTAAGCTGGTTTGAGTAGTTCTAACATGCAATTTATTTTAAGACAAAATACGCGCCCATGATCCCAGCGGCGAATTCCTTTGAAATTGACGATTTCCTCTAGTAACCTTTCAGTAAGGCATCTCTGAGAATCGTGTTCGAGATTTGGTAACTAACGATAGTCATTTAGTGGGAATGGAAACGCGAACATTTGACAGCTCGACAGCATCCCACCACCGTGTGTCGATGGTAACGCGTGTACCTCGGTCTGGCCCCTCATGATTTGCAGTTGATCAGTGTGGCTCGCTTTCGAGAAAAGAAATGAAACATTTTCTTTAACCGATTTGGGTCTCTTAGTTATTTTGCCAACAAACTCGTACTTGCTCGAGGTAGGTAGTTTACTCCTGTCATCATGAGCTAATGTTTGAGTTAGCTAATTAGTTGAATTTGACTCCTGTTGTAAGTTGGAAGGAATTGTTGAGACCCACATGCAATTTTTTTCCGTTTTCACGTCAGATTTTGTTTATGTAGGGCTTTCTGACCGTTTTTAATGTTGGACGTATATCGGCACACAGTGTTTCTTCCTGTCCATATTGTACCAATACTCCATTCATGCTTAAACTTTCACATACTAGTAGTTAAAACTCTTTGATTTCAAGGTTAAAGTCTTGAGACCCCATTTATTGACCAATTAAATTAATCTGGCTTGGTCGTAGGCTGGGTGCTGCAAATAGCTACGTGTTTATGCTCCACGCCTCATTCCCGTAATTTTCATACATGCTCTCGCATCCTACTTAGTCCTCGTAATTTGTATCTGATTCAATTTATAACCTCAAACAGCCGCCTCGCCCAGTACGTGGAGTATGCTAATCTGCTTATAATGTCGCTCTAGGCCGATACTTGGACGACGCGGCGCGCACTTTCCGTCTTCAGTTGAAAACAGCAACGAGCGTTCGTGCTCCCAAGGGGAAAGGCGGCGTCAACACTCAGACTGCGCATCAGCCACCTAAACAGCCCATCAGTGCTACAGTTTGGATTGCCAAGAATTATCCGGCTTGGCAGGTAATCCCTCACTTTGATTTGCAAACCCCTAAAACCATCCGAGAGTTACTTTGTGTAGTGGCAGTTACTAAATACACCACCTTCCTTTTTTATTGAATATGCTTTAAATGAACATCGTCACTCCTTGAGTTTGGCATCCCACATCGTTGGTGTTTCCCATTAAGGCTACCATCCTGGGCGTCCTTCATTCCCTTTTGACCAAGGACGTGGGCGAATTGCCCGATAATGCAGCCATCTCCCGCGCACTGCAGCCCCACATGAAATCACTCGGCAAGCAGGCAAAACGGGCAATGCCGTTCGTGCAGTTGGTCCGCGAACGCTTTCTTTCCAATGGAAAGCGGTCTTTGGATACCCGCTTGGAAATCGACGAGGAAGCCGTTCTGATGGCCAATTATGATTACCTTACCGCTACTCTGGGTTTGGAGGCTGATGGACTGGAGGTAAGCTGAAGTCTGCTGCTTTTTAGAGACCTGTTAACTGTCTCGGTAATTTAAAGTAGTCGAACTGGTCGTCTGTTCACATTTACTAGCAACCCAATTTGCTTGAAGAAGCAAAAAGTGAGCTTTAATTAGGTAATATGTGCTTATTTATGATGTCCACGGCACGAGTAACACCATAAACGTACGTCAGGGTTGTTATCTTTTCGAGTTTGCACCCTATGTGCATTGCTATCGTCGTGAATGAATGCGTTTGCCTGTACACTTCTCGTCCGCCGTTGGCTGTAATTGGTGCAACAAAAATGACTTAGTGTATCCCAAGGTAGGTGCTGTGAATAATAAGATCTTAACAACAAGTACTATTAAAGAGGTCCCGAAATTTCCTGCTTTTCAAAATAATATATATACTACAATAATCCGAATGTAAGTTATGGTTGACTAATGGAATGAAACATGTGATAAAAACAAAATGGCTTGTTGAATTAGGCAAATTTTTCACTAATTGAAACGCTGGAAGTGCAACTTGGCAGTGGACTATCTTCCCTTCAATACTGTATCAAGAATTATTACTTTTTTCTGGGCAGGTATCGCGTGAACAAAGGTTCGAGAATAAAGGATAACATTTCATTGCTCAACGTAAACACTTCCTAGTACCCAAACGCGCAACTCCCGTTTAAACGAACTCGTGACATAGAAAATTTAGGTCGCTGAAATGTTAAATTTTAAGGTCATGGAAAACCGCAGCAACATGGGTAATGCATATTTTTGCTGAGGTGTTTATGCAATAGTCGGACAGTGGTTACTGATATTTTGTATAGACTCTGCACTCACCCTGTGTTATTTATTTCCCGCGAGATTCGAGATGCTGCCACTTCTGGCGACACTAAGGTGACCGAGTCTGTTTGCCCACTGGAGCCCATGATCGTCTTTCATGCCTCAAAACCGAGCATCAGCGTATCCTTCGTCAACCCCACTGTCGGCTCGGGACTTTTTTCAGTGGAAAGCGTGCCCATTCGTGATGGTGACACTGTCGATCATATCTCCAAACGCCTGCTCAATATCTGCCGCACCTTTATGCCAGCCGCTGATTGTAAGGAGTTAGATCTATCCACTTATCCAACACAGTTAGCTTTTCAAATTATCTTTTATTCGGATCCAATGAACTCGACAAGCCGCGTTGCTTGTACCTCCACGATTTGGAATCTAACCGATTGTGTGCATGTCGTATGGGTCCATTTCTGGCAATTTGGGCACTCTCTCCCACCCACCGCACCATCACAAGTTACTGGGGTTTCGCCCCAAATACTGCTAGATTCCACAAGTGTGTCGAAACTATCCAAGATCGTTATTTACAGCGGCAGGCTGTTATTTCATTAATTAACGGTATCACATTGCAAAGCGACCTAATGTTCCCACCCCAGGCTCCCTTTCCCTAATCCAAATATAATGGGACTTCCGAATTAGATCTAGTTTTGCAGTCAAGTCAGTTATTAATTGACTCCGTTTTGTTACAGCTACTGAAGAATTGATTCTTTACCGGTACTTGAATCCGGTAGTCGGTCCCCGATCGCTGCCCCCGGTGTCGGCCAAAGTTCTGTCGAAGCTTCAGTCCAGCGACAAATTCACCCTCGACGTCTCTGCTGGCAAGTTAAAAATTGTTCTCCAGGGCGATGAAGCTGTCGAGACTGGCACACAACTCGTCTACACCGATGTTGGGCATCAGCTTGCATGAGTTGGTTGTTGCCTAAATTACGCGTTTTGTGTGTTGGTGCATATTAAACTACTAGGAAACCATCAAAATCCCACTTTTCCCTCTCTTGTGATTTGAAAGGCGTTAATGTCGAGGCTATTGGCTAACCGCAAAAATTATTTCGATAAATTTTGGGGACTTGGAATATTGCATAGACAAAATTACTCCAATCGCCTATTTTGAGTAAAACATCGCAAATTCCACATTTCCTTGGGTGAACATTGACATTTTCACTTGTGGTTAGCCAAGGGTCACATTCCTGTGACCACAATGTTTACGAAAAACAAATAGTTCGAACTGTGCTCTTGAATAATGTATTTTTTAAGAACAAAATCCATTTAGCATCTACATGGACACCTGACTGGTAATAGGTGCTGGAAGGATAATGATATATGTTGGGTTCCTTTACAAAAGGCATACAAATTAAAGAGTTATCGCTGTAAACGAATGTAAACAATGAGGATAGCAAGAAGGCCAGCAAGAAGAGGAATAATGTAGAAATCCCAGTCCATCTGCATGGTGACTTCCGAATTCCTGGCGGTGGCACCATCAGATGATGAAGAGAACAAGTCAGCAATCCACCGGATCTAAAAGTGCCAGTTGCTTACGTAAATGCAGCAAACTTACAGCCGCTTTCAAGGTCATAATGCTTTTCAAAATATCGATTTTCCAGAAGGCTAGATCGTGTCAAAATGCACTACTATTTCAGTCATTTCAGTCTAAAAGGAACTGCCGATAATGCAAATGGTAAACTAGATAATGCTTTAGATGCATCTTGAAAACGAGGAAGATGCTGGCACTAATGACATGAGTTTACCTAAACATCTTATCCACGTCGCCCTCTTTTTACACAATTTCATGGGAAAAAACTATTTACTGGAAACCTACAATTGGAGCCTTTCGCAGAAAGTCAAGTGCGAAATGGAAAGAAAGTTTGACCAAGGCCAACGCTGCTGGAATTTGCGCATCCGACGAAGTCTCAGCAGCCATGTCATAGAATCGCTTTGCGAGATAAAGGTCCTGAAAAAAAAACCATGGTGGTGTTATTGACAGGCGAGCGAAAGGGGGAAATCGGTTTTACGCAGCTCTCCACGGGGCATGCTATTGCGTTTCAAACTAAAAACCGAGTTTATAGGTAACTTCCTTGTTATGTCGTCGGTAATGAAAATACCTGAACGCTTAACAAGAAGCCTACGTACGAAACCGTTGACCAATGAGCGCCCTCGTAACCACTGCAGGAGTCGCCAACAAATCGACTTAAAGGCGCTGCTGTGTTCAACTATTGTTTTTTTTAGCGAACATTTCTGCAATTGATTGCGAGTAGGGTTGAGTGAACTGTGATAATCGGACAGAGCATGGATTACTCTGCAGTGCGGATCAATTACATGGAACACGAAGTGGCGCTAATAGATGAACAGAATTAAGATACACTCAACTAGCTGGGTGGGTGGGTGGGTGGGACCCAGAACCTACGCGTTTGAATCCGAGCCCCTGTTCGTGCATGTACCCAAGGTTAAACATGGCCTGGGCATTTCGCAGCACATCTGTAGCAATCCGGTATTCCTGGATCGCCTGCTCGTAGTTAACCTCGGTCCCTAGTCCGTAGAAGTAATAATCGCCCAACTTCACCCGCGATGAAGAGGAACCTGCAAAAATTACGATTATTCATTTTAAACCCGCGCTAACGTGTAGCGGGGTATGAATGACAAAGACATCGGAATATCTTGGGGGAAAAGTGGCCATCACACGTCTCCTACATTATCTAAAGTAAAGAATATTTTTGACCTGAAGATCAGATAGCATGGCTGCGGTAGTGAGGCACTTTTTTCATAATTATCCACAACATGTGAGTACTTATGCTTCCGCGATCTGTACCGGTAATAAACCTATCCATAGATCTCAAACTACGAACGCAGAAAATTTGACTAGCGACATTGACTAAATGCAATAGTTGGGCAGCAACAGAAAGTATTGGAGCAAGCTTAATGTGAAAGCGTAAATTCGAACATCACCAAACTGAAGCGTAGTAATGTACTAACAGTTCAACACACAACAAACGGATACAGGAGACAGGATTGTTCGAAGTAATACCTTGGCCGGCGGAACGTTTCCAATATACCAACGCGCGCTCATAACGCTCAGTCTTGGGGATGAAGTCGACATCACCTTCAACAAAACAGAAACAGGGATTAGTTTTAGCTACCCACACTTGCACTACAGCTTGGGTGTACAAATGGACGCAGAACCTACACCACGGGTAGCACCGTCTTAATGAAGTAATTTAAAACAATACAAGCCTTCTCTGTGCACTGATTGGTCAGTATGATTGGTTTTTTTTGCAGAGCCAAGGCCATTTTAAACTAATTTAGTTTGTCGTTGAGGCCTTTTGCGCATCGGAAGACAAAGGCGCCTAAATGTGTCATCCCATATTCATTATAATCAATCAACATCCAACTATCACAAGTGATCTACCGAAAATGTGATAGTCGTAGGTGTTTTGCTTTTTTGCATTCTAGAATATAGCTACCTTTAGGACGCAATAGTGACCATGCCATTGAGAAAAGCGCGCATGTAAGTACAGAAACGCAAGTTTAAAACATGCTGTGCTAGATTAGATAGTGATAAAAAGTATGTGCTGAGAGAAAATGTAGTACGTACAAAAGTATCTAACATATAAAAAGAATCTCTGGAGGTATATATAGGTAAACGTGAGAGGATTCCAGGAAATACCCTATAGAAAGTTGCGAAAACTCGCTATTCTGTGAGATTCAAAATCGACAGCAAGTCACTACTCGTCAGTGAGCAAATTTATCCACTGCAAGCAAGTGAGCATAACTATTCGTTACAAATTGTGGTGATTAGCATTAATAAGAATATCGTTGACGGAAACGTGAAAGCACATGAAAACGGTCTTCTTTGTAAGTTGTAAACAAAGACGGGACCGTAAACTCCACCTTTTTCGTGAGACAAGTTGGGTTATTGGTGCATTTACCCTTTGTCGCAATATTACTGTCTTTCCACACCAAGTACCATTCCTGACACCTTCGTTACGCACAAAATCCTTCACAGATCATAAAAGCTGTTGGGATGTACTCATAAGCGGCCCAAGCTGACTAACGACTAAGTGTGTGTCTGCCCGGCCGTTCGCCTTCGGCCCAGCGATGGGGCACGACTTGTATTTGTAGGCCACAACATACTCGTACCCGACATTTAAAAAGAAAACACTAAGCACAATCAAAACCTTGGTCCAGTGCCATTAGTTATCGATGAGAATAGATCCAGTGGAATTATGCTGGAATGGCCTACCCACAAGAAAGCAATCGAGAGTGGCGTAGAAGCAAATTTGAGGAGGACTGTGGAACACAGCACAATGACAACAAATTACGAAAATCTGGAGATCACGAATAGAACGAGTGACTACTGAAATAAAGAATGAAATGAGGAGATAAACTGACCGTCTTCCAGCATCAGCGCGACATTACTCTGTGCAACTTCGTAGCCGAGTTCAGCAAGTGCAAGGTACTGGAGAAAGGCGGCCCCGCGATTGCCAGACCAGTACTCGAGGTACGCTGAGGTGAGCAGCTGTGACCAGCGTCCCCGTTCGGCCACATTTTTAAACAGCTGTGTGTAAAATCGGGCGTCAAATAGTTCATAATACGTGAGTAGGACGTCCTTTTTAATAAATATGGAAACTTGACTGAATGTATTGACATGTCTTGTAGGGTTCCTGGTTTTGGATCAGAATAGCATCCATGATTAAAAAGGCTACCACAAATCAACATTCACCAAGACGGTTTATGTTCGAAATGAAGCACATTAACACGAAGAAATGTTATAAAACTCGAACAAAAAGTAATTACAAAGGCCAAATAAATACATAGATGAATAATAAAGCTCATTGACTACGCGACACTTCAAAAATCGATGATGTGATCGCTATTGTGATGATTTGTTGGTACCCCAAGATTGGTTATCGGCCCAAGCTTTTAAAACTGTTCCGACTGGATACGCTTAAATACCATTTACCCGAAAAGTAACTAAGCTCGGAGAAGATGTACAGAACTCACTTCAGTAGCAGTACTACAGGAACGAAAAACACCCATCCCTGTTGCGTGCATTTGTCCAAGGTTGTAGAAAGCCAGAGTGTTACCCTGTTGTGAAGCCAGAGTGAAGTACTTTAATGCCATTTTGTAGTCTGAAGTCCTCCCTACAGTGCCTAGAAGAAAAAGTCCCTTAAAATACAACTTATTGAAAAATATGTGAGGATAAGGGGACTACGACCTGCAACTGACCCATAAACAATAAGCCCAGTTGCAGTTGAGCTTCAGCCCAACCTTGGTCCGCGGCTTTAACAAAGAGGTCCATTGCCTTAACAGGATCGGGTGTCAATCCCGCGCGACCGTGAAGATAAGCCAGCCCCAAACTTGTTAGGGCGAGTGGATTTCCCGCGATTACAGCACGTTGCAAATAGTTCAGTGCCAAACTTTCATCCTTCGGAACATCTGGACTTCCCACGAGGTACATCTTAAGTAGCAATAAAGAAATACAGCTGACAAAAAATTTTAAAAAAGACGTTGTTTTTAAGAATACTTACCTCTCCCAGGTAGGCCATAGCTAGGTGACTCCCAGAATCGGCAGCACGTTTGAAGTAATGAAGAGCCAATTTGTGGTCCAGGTCAATTCCATGCTGGCCGTTGTAGTAGAGTTGACCGAGTGTAACCTGAGCACTGACATTATTCGAATCGGCAACGAATTTGTAGTAGGAGAGGATGTCATCAGATATAAAGTAATTTGAGAGGGCAGCGCCGCCTCCACCGCCTAAAGCCTGTTCACGTTCCTCAAGCAGATTAATGCGGACTACAGTGGGTCCAGTTAGGGTGGGACCAGCTCCCTCCTTTATGCGATTTTCCACCTGCTCTGCGACTGTCGCAGCTACGCGTCGGTAGTAGGCCAGAGCCGTTTCACAATTTGGTTCCACACCAGCTCCGACAAGGTAACGGTAGCCCTTTTTAGAATAAAAATCGATTGATTTATAAAACTAAAGATAGTCTAAACAAAACATAACGAATGGATACATAATTTTAATAGTGGACAAGATCATGAACAAGTTACCGATTTGATGCGAAGAATGAATTCTCATTAAAATCACACAAACTTTCGGAAAGTACTTTGGTGGTTCAAAAAATTTGAGCACGTCCAACACTCAAATGAGGTTTCCGGCGCTTTCTGTTTCTGAGCTAAACTTTCATCTAACGCCAAGGTTTTAACATAAGGAAGAAAGCATTCTCAAATATCTGCTTTTTTAGATTTTGTTGCGACATACTAGAATCAGCCTATGTTATAAATTGCATCCAAAATTTTGATCTTTCCTACATAACTTATGAGAAGAATAACTGCCCTAGTGATGAAACCCCACAAACCTGTTGCTAACGGCAGGCCCTTCCTACTCTCCTTCCTATTTCCACTTTATGCAAATCTTTGGGTTGGAATTTCACAAAACCACAAAACAACTAGATTACTTGGGGCTTACCATGGCCATTTCAGCAAGTTCATCACCACCAAGAGCGGCAAATGTTTGGTAGACAAGGGCTCGCGGTATACTAGCATTTACTCCAACGCCAGCGGCATACATGATTCCCAAGCCTAGCTGCCCACGAGGATTTCCTTCTTCAGCAAGATGCCGAAAACCCTCGACTGCTTTCTCAACTGACAGAGGCAAGCCGCCCCAGGCAAGGGCGGAAGCAGTTACAATCACTTCACGAGCCTTAACGTGACCAGATTCTGCAGCTGTGGCAATCAGCCTTAAAGCACTGAAAGATAACTTTTGTCAGAAATAAGTAGTAATTGTCCAGATGTCAGAATCGAAAACAAACTTTTGATGCCCTCTTTAGTTGACAAGACTATTACACTAGTTGTAACATTAAAGTTAGATTGAGGAAAGTTAACGCAGAAAACTTAGACACCTTTGAGAATCAAATTTACATAAGAGTAATTCTTGAAGCTAATTTGTGGACTTGCAGAAAAGCAAGTTCATATAGGCTTTTCAAGAAATTCCGCTTAGAACGTATTAGAATGCAGCAGAAACTTACGCTGGATCCCCAAGTGAAGGATTCCTACATTCCACTAGCAGCCGAAGTCCTTTCTGGTACATATCTTCAGCTAAAATTAAGTGTTATCAATGTATTTTTGAGCACCTTCACTAAGCGTTATAGAAGAGCGTTCTGTTGGCGTTTCGTCTGAAATTGGATGAAAAATGAAATGAGGGTATGTAAAGCAATTGTTATTCACATTAATGTTAAGAATAGACTCAAACTTAAATAACAATAGATTAGCGAAATTAGTAAAACAGGTTTCGGGTAAATGTAAACACGATATATAAGGTGTGTGAATTTGTTCTCCATCAACACTGGAAGCCAACATCATCGACGGATGCTCAATAAACGAATGCTGTAATCTCACACGAATATAGAATAGAGCAGCAAAGCCCCGACGAAGACTGACAGTGTATAATCATGTTAATACAACATCGACTTGCTAAAGTGCCCGACTTGTCAAGTTGAATGCACCCTTAACCCATGGTCAATAATTCCAACATCATCCAACTTTCCACATTGTTGGAGACATATGCAAATAAAGACTCAATTTACATTCATTTTAGTTAAGCCGCTATTGTACTTTGGTGAACCAATGCAATGAATTGATTTTGAAATGTATGCTTACAGTTGGAGACGTATAAAATCACAAGGATCATCCGAAGGGCGAAGCGAAAACAGGGACTAAGTTGTTATTATCTTTTAAGGTTTAAATTTATTAGTTTATTTGCTACAATCACGCAGATAAGGCGATTTGTGCAAACTAAGTTAGGAATATAACAGCAATTAGAGGTTGATACTAAACGCAAAAAGTCAAACCACACACTGCGTAGTGCAAGCCTTTTCTTGGGTACAACATTAAAAATCAAAAGAATCAGAAAGTACAACAAATTTATATTTTGGTTAGTATTAAACTACCCAATATAACGTACTTACCAACACGGCCAAGGGGAACGTCATCAGTTCCTTCGACGACTTCCAAAGAGAAAATTACATATAGTAAAATGAGGGTCCTGATTATCTACAACAATTGTAAGAACTCGAAGTAACACAACTCACACTCATCTCAACTCCAACAATGATTTTCAATTTCCCGCGGTTAAAGTTGATGATAAACGTCATCTTTACCCGTGGAAGGCACCTTTCTCGATTTCCTTGCAAAGAAAATGCATATGTTTACTAAGGTTAATCGCAGTTTTTGTAATGCACTGGCATGAAAGTCTGTGATTGTGTTTCAGTGAATTTATAAATGGGTTATTTCATAATTTCTACATAATTTAATTTTCAATATTTTACCTAGTTTGCTTGAATAAAAAATTATTGATTTCCGTATTAAAGAGGTTATGATTCTGAGGTAACTTTCTTTTGCTTTCACACTATTGGGGAGGTATTCCATTCTAAAAGTTATTTGTGGCTTTTTATTCAATGAACAATGGGTATTATTAGCACGAGTTGCACTATTATGTTAGTCCTGATCGATCACTGTTGTTATTATTACCCAAAAAATTTAACAGCGATAGAAAGTTAAAACCAATGTATTTTGTTAAAGGCCTCCAGTGAATGTAAAGTTTAACCAAATTACGAAACAATATTTTAACGCCAAGAAATATACTGGTGACTCAAAATTTCAAAATCGTCGTTAAGGCAGTTCAGTGTAAAGCTTAATGCAAAATGAACGACTACTTGCTCTTGTTAGGTTATTGCTCCAGTTCTGTGTGATAACTCTTCCATCTTCGAAGTGGAAAAAGGATTTGATGTTTTACTGTCAATTTTGTGAACAATTTAACACACAACCCAGTAGCAACCAATGCATCTTTAAGCAAGCTTCTCCATGGACGCCCCTTAAGGTGGGTGGCACCTTACTTTTTGAATTTAAGAGGGCAGTTGCAAGTATTTTTTGGTAACATTCTTTAGTTAACTTAGCCTTAGTAATAAATTCCTATGCAAATAAAGTGTCATTTCCATTAAAATTGAATGAAGCTTAAATAGTTGGTGGCTGTCAATTACAGGAAAAACAATTTCTTGGTGATTAATTAAGATTCGTCGATCCACATGTTGACAATGCTAGTTCGAGTTTTGGTTAGTGTGCTGCCGAATAAAAGGGCGAGTAAGTAAGAAGTCAACGAACTGTGGACGCAGGCAAAAACATTGATTCACAATACATTTGTCGTTAAACTTTGAATCGGTACTATGCAGACAAAATGAAAAATTACTTTTCTCATAACGTGAAGAAAATTTTGATGACTGTTCTTAAGCTAATGCGTTGACAAAACAGTTTAAAATTCTTAAAGGTTGCAAAGGAGAGTTGATTGCTGTGCGTTAGAGCCTACTCTAGCTGTAGAAGACCACATCATGTCCCTAAACATCAACGATACTAACCATAAACCACATCTTTTTTATGGCTGAACACTTTTACTATACTAGAGCAAGTGCGAAAAAATGACCTGAATTTTCATAACAGTTTAACCACATAAAAAAATGATAAAAGTCCTATAGATGTCATAGTTAGTTTTTTTCGGAAAAAGCAGCGTGTGGTCACGGTAAAATTATTTTCGCGCTTTTTAGAGCCAAAAAATTACGATGAAATTGTTAATTGCATAGGCAATAAAGAAGAGTTATTGCAAAAATGTAATCCGGTTATGTTTTGATTCCGCACTGTGCCATTATGTCAAAATGCATTTCCTTGACACTTTCCCTGTGAGATTATCGTCAGAATCTTCGTCAACGTTTGTAACAATCAGTATTAAATCGTGAAAATCAGTTATTGAAGCACCCACATTTTTATATTCACAAAAAATTGATTTGGAAACTACAACACAGAACAGAAGGGAATAAATAATCATTGGCATTAAACCCTCACACTATGTAAACGCATTTACGATGTGCATTTTGTTGGAAAATTAGTATAATGTAGAGGTTTAACAATTTTTTTATTATGATATTTTTCTTTTTTAATATTAGTTGTTGCACAACTTTGCTTTGCAGCTTGCAAAAGGAATGCCTGCAAAGTTTAACATAATCAGTAAGTGCACAAAGTAGACAAAAGCGTTGAACCTTTTTTTTTCATTCAAATTTCTGACCATAAATTCTGAAAAGGCCATAAAGCTATCGGCTAAATTTATTCCAATTAAGACACTGAATTATTTAATGCTATATTTTAATTTATTCAAAACGTATAGTTCGTTCAATCATAAGTAAGATTTTACTGACTTTACTTGCGTCGAATGTGGACAAACTTGTGTTGATGGGTTTTAGATGCAAGGCATGTATCTGAAGTGCAATTATCAAATAATGTTGCATTCGGAAAACCCCGCTTTATAAGAAATGGGCTTTTTGTCCGAATTTTCAGATTTCGACGTTCAGTATTACAAGAGCGATAATGACCATTTTTGTTTGTCGCAACTAAATCTTGAACCACATCCTGAAAATTGCGGTTTGTATGATTCCTTTGACAATTACCGACATGATTTCGTTTTGATAATTAGAAGAAAGTTGATGTCTGGCGTATTCCCCATTTCTCATGTGAATAAAATTTTTCTCTGAAGGACATTCTCTAATCTGCCATAATGTATAAACAATTGAATTTAAACGGCCTCGGCTCATCAAAGGATGTGAGTTTTACCATTGCTTTTAATTTAACTCACCATTACGTTGTCACCAGCACTTGTAATCTTTGAGCTTCCTGTATACCTTGGAAATTGTCTTTTTTGCTTTTAGAATAGTCTTGTATCGTGGTTTCCCATGAACTAAGTCTTAATTTGTATGTGAATGTTCTATGCCAGCCCTTTTGGTTCCGTTTCTATTTAATCACATTTCTTCTTATATGTAATAACTTAGTTCTATGGAATCGGTCATCGCCTAATTTTATGTTACAAAACACGCTGCCTAGAATTTCTTAAAATTGTCCCATGCTTCCTTAATTTAAGTCCGCAGTGTTTTCCAAGCGAGCTTCAACGAGTTGTCTTGGCCTCCAGTTGCTTTTTTCTCTAGTTTTCGTTCGGATTTTCTCGATTAATTTTTGCACCATTTAGGTGCATAGGGGATTTTATTACACAGGCATCACGTTCCACTTTGTCATTTTTTTATTTCAATCAGTCTTCCGTTATTGTGCAAAATCCAACCAACTTCGTAATTCTACGTCCTCCTTTTTTCATTGCGTCACACAGTTGTTGATGACTTTGATGACCTCCCGCTTTTATTCCTGTTATTGTGCGATCAGGCCAATTTTTGTCTCTTAGTTGTTGCAAATGCTAGGTACGTTACCCATTACAGGAGAAAGCATAAAGAATATGAATGGTCTGTATTTTTGGTAAATTGTCACTAATGAAGACAACCACGAAAACCTAATGGTATACTTCACCGGCGTCTGATGTTATCAAGTTTCCCCTTCAGATGAACGCTCCTTTCTATGGCAACTGTTAAATAGCTATAAATTTGCAAAAAATGTTAAATTTCCTATTTGATTTGACGAAGCACATTACCACAAGGCGCTCGGTGCTCTAAAAAGTTACAGTTTATTAGGCACATCGGTAGGACCTCGATAAGGTGGAAATTGTTCCATTTTATGTTTCGAGGATTTGCTATATAGGCATTGTGCGCTTTAAGCTCTGTATTTGGCTAGCATTAGGTTTTAAACAGCTTGGATGCCACCGTCATCTTTAATGGACATTTCGTAGGTTAAAATTGCAAATTTTACTATTGGCAGCACAAGGGCAAGCATTATCGCGTTGTGAAAGGATACTGTCACGTTCAGGATGTCGCTTTTATTGCCGGGATGTAATTCAAAAATCAACAGATTTTGACAATACACTCCTTTTTATATTTTACAATCTATTTCTGCTGTATAAACTAAGGAAATTTGTTCGCATATGAGCTGCAATGTTTTATTTATCGACCTAATATTCATCTATTCTTAACGAATCATTAAATCTCAAAGAAAATCCCTTGATACCTTGTAGTGTAGCAGTTGAAACGGACAAATATGTTGTTTTTTGGTCATGTACTTAGTCCGTTACATTAGTTGGTATCATCTGCAAAATACAAATGCAACTGTACCAAAAGTCAAAGTGTTAGTTGAGTCCTTCTCTTTTTCTCTATTTTTACAACCAGTTCCAATCTCAACTATGCTTGTAATGTTTTGAATTTCAACAAGTAGATTTCTTTAAGGCTTTAACGTAAAATCTTTATCCTATTTTAATCGTGTTCATGGGTAAATTTGCTGCTTAAGCTTGCACATTGATTCATACATGCACCCTATTGAAAGAAATTGGTTATGGTTTGTCTAGCTTATATAATTGGTGTCAACAGTTTGAACCCCTACAAAGTCGCCAGTATCTTGTGACTTCCTAAATCCTTTATTTGGTGCCACTTTTATGTCGTGCGCATTCGGAATACTTAGCTGCAGCTCTGATGGATACCGATTGACTTATGTGATACCTTGTTTAGCCGGTCGATCCTTATGAAATAACTTAAAAATGCACTCAGTGAAGATTTTGCTTCATTTAAATAATCTCTTTGAAGCAATAAACCTGTATATCTTCAAATGTTTCTCTGTCAGGCTATATTAATTTACGGTTTAAAGCGCCTTTTATTACAGAAGATAATTGACATTAGTAGATCTCTTTCTTTTCTAGTAGCGTTTTCCACGTAACGCACAATCGAAATCACTCCTGCAGTATATTTTTTCACATAGCCTTATCCTTCTTGATGAGCCTTTGTGTTATTCGTGATTTGATACTTTCGTATTTTGTTTACTTAAGGTATGGTAATCAAGTTGTGAAATACAGGCAAGCCATTTAGATTATGCTTGTATGCTTAAAACTGTAGTAATTGCTAAAGTGTAAGTTTCGGAAGGACTTGAGCTGATTGTTGGTGCCAAGAAAGTCTAAGGCATTGACCCTATTAATCACTATTTTATAAATTAGGTAGTCAGCTGCGATCTGGAGATGTGATACGTTTAGCTGACAGATCCTATAATACACAGTTCTTATGACGGTTTCAGTGACTTGTGATTTTCTCAATCTCCGTCCAACCATACTGAGGCACCATGCAAGTGAGAAAGGTGAAATGATACACAACTACGGGTAGGACTACGTTGACAATCCAATTCCTTAAGTTTGGAAATGAACACTTAGGTATTGCTTCAGGGGTCGGTTTGGTTACTCTCTGTGATGTCATTAATCCACGAGCATTCGTCTGTTACTTTTTCAATTGTGATTCAGATTATTGGTTTTGCAAAAATATGAAACCATACGCTGATTTTAACTGATCATATTTCCGGTCAGACTGGAGGCTTGTCCACCCTTGCGTAAACACATAATAAGAATGTTTTAATGCTTAAAACCTCGCCTTTCTTGAACTATTTGGTTTCTCCTATTTCTGTGGCCTGTTGCCATTAAGGCTCGCAAACTTTGTTTCCTAATTGCGCAAGAATAGTCATGCAAATCGAGTGGCCTCGTTAACTATTCACCTGCAGTGCTCGCTTGTGCGCTTAGCAACGAACACGTAATCATTGCGGCTCACATGTACACAAATACAGCGGTCCTCATTTTTATCCTATGTTGTCCGGCTTCGGTTACCTGGAGAGGCGTCTTCACGTAACGAACTTGTTTTAGTTGGAATTTATTAGTTTAGTTAATTCGACTGAAGCTGATTTTACTTGTATATCTTGATTAACATTTCGTCGTCTATGCTGAAATGGGAAAGTATAGGTCATGCGTCCCTACCGCCGGCTTTACATTCTTAATAACATAAGACCGCATTAATATCCTTTTTTCGTCTTCCTTTGACAGGACTTCCAAGTTTTTGAGCTCCTGGGTCGCGGGGGTTTCGCTCAGGTCTACCGAGCCAAGTCCATTATAACAGGCCAAGAGGTGGCAATCAAGATGGTGAGTCGTGGCTCTTGATAAAGTCTTTCTTTTATGTTTTCATTTCAAATGCTTAAGTATTTTTGGCATTTGGAGACTTCAAGCTATTGTATTTCTAGTCTTATACTTGTACGCCGCCAATGTATTTGTTTCTTCATGCCTTGTTCTAAGGTTGTAATTGAGGATTGTCTAGAGAAGGCTAGGCTGATTGACATTGCTTGTTAACACATACTGCACTCACAGGTGCATTACTAGAAAAATTCTTTGTAACATCACTGAATCCTCTAAGGTTATACTTGATATTGGAAATGTGTGTAACTCTTCCCTAATAGGGGACCGCTCTTGTAAAACTGCAATATGCATAGCCGACAGCATCCTAAAATAATCCAAATTTTGCGCAGCTACATAGGAGAAATGAAGGTTTTTCTTTCTTAGATCGACAAGAAATATATGCACCAGCACGGCCTAGCCCATCGAGTTCGTCGTGAGGTTGAAATACATAGCCGACTGAAACATCCTGCTATCCTTGAGGTTTGTATTCTTTCTTCTCTTATTTCGTTGCATGTTTGACAATATCTTACGCAGTTATTGTTTTATGAAACGATGTAAGGGATACTTTTGGATTAGTTGAATTGCATTAATTTTTGCTCAGGGTTTAAGTACAACCATTTTTGCAAATTTAACATTACTGTGATTGTGTACTTCGTTGTCTTTAGCTATACACGTGCTTTGAGGATGCAAACTACGTCTACTTGGTGTTGGAAGTTTGCGACAATGGAGAATTACAGGCCTACATCCGACAGAATGGACCTGTTTCAGAAGACATGGGTGAGTTAGCGCCTCTGTATTTTCTCACTCATTAATTTTCTTAACTAATACTGCTAGTAGCTAGTTGGTCGGAAGTCGGTTCGTGACAGCTAAAATTCAAGGGATCATTGAAGTTAAAGGGCCATGTTAACAGTTCCCGTTTAAGAGAATCAAGCAGACCAAACGTCTTAGCCTTGACCGTTCTCTCAGTTATGTACTTGTGGGAATAAAAATGTGCTTGTTTTTTTGTCATTAACCGTGCAAAGGTAGCCCCTCGTTGCGACGAGACTAATGGTTTTTCGCCATGTGGTATTTATACGTTATATCTTCTATTTGACATGTCCCGTTTTAAAGTTGGCTACATGGATTTTGATTTTCACTTTGTGTATTTGCACTTGCCGGCAGTACAAATAGGGCCATGGTTCCACAGGGCGATTCATGGGCGCAGCTTGGGTTCAGTCTCGACCTTTGGCCCAAATTATCCATGGTCACGACAAGATAACGTCGGATTTGATGCCCACAGCTTTCGTCGTAGTTATCTTAACGCACCCTCCATTGTAGCTCGACACTACATGAAGCAGATCATCAGCGGCTTACTTTATCTCCATTCCCACAACATTCTTCACAGGGACCTCACTTTATCAAATCTCCTGCTAACAAAGGATATGAAAGTGGTAACCAGATCTTTGCATTTAGAAGCTAAAACATGGAAATTAGTCAGATATGACTGATTTCTCTTTGTTTTAGAAAATTGCAGATTTCGGCCTTGCGACGCAAATCGAACCAGGCGTAGATCACACTACAATGTGTGGGACCCCAAATTACATCTCGCCGTATGTCATTTTTGACCAAATCAATGATTATTTTTGTCATTGTTGATAATTTGCCTCGTCCTTCATAGCACTTGACCGCCCATAAAATCTCTTCCGGGGTTTGAAAATACTAAGTGCTCCGCCCCTCGTCGTTTCATGAAAAATACTTGTTTCAAGAATCTGTAACTGCACGCTGCTTAGTATTTTGCTTGCCCCTTGTTTAGAGAAGTAGCGAGTCGTGGTCAGCAGGTTCTGGAGACGGATGTCTGGTCCATCGGTTGCATGCTTTACACCCTGGTGGTCGGTCACCCGCCCTTCGATACACGAGAGGTCAAGAGTACTCTGAATCGCGTGATCGCTGGCGATTACAAGGTGCCAGATAACCTTTCCTCCGACTGTAAAGACCTCATCTCGAGTCTTCTTCGCAAACAGCCACAGGATCGTATAAAGCTGCAGGAGATGATCCGGCATCCATTTATGACGCGAAATGCGACTCCCCGACGTAAAATGGTAACTTGAGTTCTCTTGCAGCATTCTTGATCTGGTTTACTCCTTGTGCCCACATCTTCATGCATCTTGAATATGGATTATGTGTGCACGTGGCTCTGGTGCGTTAGTTATCAGTTTTAGTGGATTCCATCAACCATTGGGATACTGAAGTTGGGTACCTGCCTGTTTTCCTTATCTAAGTTGACAACACTCAAATTGTAACGCTTTCTGGATTAACACATACCACCTTGTTGGATTTTATATGTGGAATCAAGCGGAATGAGCACATTGTAGGCCTTGTTTTGCTTCCTGTAGGAAAACTCCAGAGACAGTGGTATAGATTCGATGACTCGGACGCCTATCACCAATATTCCTCCCGCCACAGCTACCATAACTTCCTCCACAAGCAGTCGCTACTCAACCAACTACCAACCAAACTCATGTACCCTCCCCCCACGCCCACCTTCCCATCCTGTCATGGGCATACGCCGTTCAGGCCATGATCAACTGAATCTACCGCCACCTCTTCCCTCCTTTGAATCGACAGCTCATCAGCCACCAACTCCTGCTACAAGTTGTTTCCGTGGCAGCGGCTCCCTGCGTCATTTGATTCCAGCCTCAAAAAGTATATCGGGGTTATCCATCGCTTCAACCTCTTCTGTCGCATTCTGTCGTTCGGCTTCAGTAGGGAGTCTCCAGCGCCCGTCCCAGCCATTGCTGGCTCCCCTTAACTCCCGCCGACTGCGTCCAATGCGGACAGTCACTCGGATGGCTGTGATCAATATTCTTGCCGATGAGTCGGTCTGTCTGGAGTTTTTCGACCAAAAAGAAGCCCAAGAGAAGCTGGTGATTGAGGTCATGGGTATATCAAGTGATGGGCAAGAGGTGGTGATTTATTATCCAAATGCTGGACGCGGAGTGCCCCCAAATATGGATAGTCCGGTGGCGGCGTGTGCTGGAGACTCGTATAGGATTTATCCACTAACCCAACTGCCAGAGAAGTATTGGAAGAAGTATCAGTTTGTGTCAAAGTAAATCAGTCGTGAAATTTGAGTCATTTTGTAAAAGTTTCTTGTCAGACATTCTATGGTGGCATTAAAATGTAGCTACCCTTCACTTAAAGCCACCAAATTTATGAACCGCATTCGAATTAGTATTGTCCAGTTGTTTTGAGTATATATGATTATCCTGATGTCTGACCTGCTTATTAGGGTATAGTCCTCTGTGAATAAATAAACTGAACCATGTTGCATCGGCATACCTATAAAGAGTACCGTTTTAACAAATTTCTAGTAAGAGGTAGTCTGATCATGACTCCTCACCTATAGTACTCTCCTTTGATGAGGACTTTTTGGGACTTGACCCCATGAAAAATTTCCAACTGATTTAAGAAAGCTTGCTGTCTGGAATTATGCTGCTGCAATAAGTGAAACCTTTTTGCTTATTTTAAAATATGTAAAAATCGTCCCGCATGTAATTAAGATGAAATGCCCTTCTCTATCATCTTACTTCTCGTCTGCTTCCACTCATTTCAGATTCATCAATATGGCTAAGGCTCACACGCCCAAGGTGACCTTGTACACACCTCGTGCAAAATGCATTCTTATGGAGAAGGTTGAGCCACAAGCGGACTTTGAATTAGAGTTACTCTCCGATGGAAGTCGCGTTAATTGCCTGGGAGGAGATGCTGCTGGAAAGGTTCAGGTCGTCACACAAGCCAACGGTACCATCACTGTTGATAGGAGACAGTCCCTGGATAACCTTCCAGCTGCAATACGAGAACTCATCTCCTATGCCGAAAAGGTTTTTTAACACGTTCCGTTTTCCTGTGATTCCCGTTAATTCAGTTTAACTTGCTCTTATTACCGATTTGTTAAAACATCCTATTTTTATTCCACTACTTGCCTACCTTGACCGAATGTCAAATGCATTAAGGCCGAATATAATTGCATAGGTTGGTCTGAATTGTTCCATGAACTAAGACCGCTTTCAACTGGCTTGCCTAATGTCGAAGAGCTACCTCTGATAGGTAGGTAAGTAGGGTGTGCTAAGTGATTTTTGTCTTGATTTTTCCTACTAGCCTTTTGAAACGGTTAATGCAATTTTGCTTTTAAGTGTCCATGTACTCATTTTCATAGTAATGCATCTGTAAATTTCAGCACTTGTTCAGTGTGCTACGTCATGTCATTAACTCCATCTGTTCAAATACCACAATTTATATCGTTGACTTGTCTGCAATGCATTTGTGGAATTAAGTATTTAGCTTGATTAAAAAGCTTAAGAATTGTGATTGCTCTCACAGTCGAATGGTACGTTGAAGTCGGTGTCATTAACGTGCCCTTGTAATTCGTTGCTAGTACCTTTCCTACAATGCCTTTTTCTTGGAATCTAAGTCACTTCCTATTTAAACTGCAAACTTAGGTCACCTGAAATGGACGCTCAGTCCCACAGACAAACTTAATTGACATTATTAAATGGTCGAGCATTTGGTGGCGTCGTGTGTTATTGAGCTCTTGCGTACACAGTGCGGCTGAATCATCATAGCTTACGGTTACTAACCACGCCCATGTTCCCTCCTCTTGATTGAACAGCCCGTCGTTAGGCTTGCATAATTTGCTGTAGCGACTCAGCTTGGCCAGTCAGAGTCTCAGGATTCTGGCATCACCTGGTAAAATTTTGCACCGTTGTATCGCGCCTTATTTTACGCTATTTTTTGATACAATTAAGACATTAAATCGGCGGTTAACTTTCCTTGATTATTTTCTTCATTAGGTTCTAAATGCACCATTGTGTACGCGGTCAAGTAGAGCGAATTTGATGCCACTTTTGTAGAAGTTGCTGCGTCATTTTAGACAGCCTTACATTTCAGAACATGTTATGCACTTTCAAATCTGACCCACTTAAGAATGTCTGTCAGTGGTTGTAACTTACATCGTTCAAGGGCTTCCAGTCTGTCCATCACAAATTACAGCCGTATTGACTGAGGTTTATTTAAAAAATGGACCTCAGCGGAATATGGAGTGTCCAACGTGGCGTAGGCGAGTGTGGTGTAGATTATTGATTTAAGAACTCACTCCTTGGAGTTGAACGCCAGCCTCTGACTGAAATAGGCTTGGTTGGGAGAACACAATTAAACCAAATTGGAGTAAGTACTTATTGTTCACATCAATTCACTGTCCAAGCTTTCTGGATGATACTTTGCTGGTCGGAGCAACAATTTGTGAAATCGCTTTATTTTGGTCCGCAATCTGCATTAATTTACCACTCCACCCCCATTGACGATATGTTTCTCTGAACTAAATTTATCTTGCCTTTCAATTTTAGTGCCGACAGCGCTGCTTGGAAATTGAAGCTTCCTTGGAGAAGCTTAGTTCCGCGGTTGCTCCCCTAGACTCCGACACAACCCAAGTTTTTCCAGTTATCATTGGTCGCCGGCCCTCCACTGTTGCCACCCCTTCCATCAGAGGTCCTCTCTTGTCAAATTGCCTTTCCCAGCTAGTAGCCAAATGCAGCACACAGCATCGCCAACGCTCCTCATCACGACACGAGACTGGTCAGCCAGTTTTTGTCCCGTCCGTGGGTTGGGTATCTCAACCCTCCCCTGAGGAGTTGCAGGTTCAGTTCAACGACGGCGCCAGACTTGTTGTAGTCTACTCCACAGCCACAGTACATTTAATTCGGTTCCAGCCACCTCCCTCAACCGGGCGGGATGGTGAGGGTGAGGAGACGGAGGAACAGGTGTTTTCCACTCTGTCTTCAGCCCCTCTACCTGCCGAGGTTCGAGCCCGCCTTGAAGCCATTCCCAAGGTGGTCAAGTGTCTACGTTCAAGATCACGGACCCCATCCTAGTTGGCATGGCATTGATCCTCCTCCCAGCTGTGATATGTACAAAATAATGCCCACACTTACACCTTCAGCCCTTTTTTCTACCTCGCAGTGTACTCCCACAAATTGTGTCCTATTGCCCTGGATTTAATATGATAAATAATACCGGTTTTTATTTTTCACTGAAATATAACAAATTGTTTGCGTTTTGGACCGAACTTTGAAGCCTTCTTTTCGGTCAAATCTTAACTATTGTGGGGGATAACCTTGCACGCAGGCCACTCACCGGAACTGTGCGGTGCAAGTTTCAGGTGATTTAAAAGCTAACAGCTTTTAAATCATTCTCGGTGCTCATAATTGAAATAGACATTTTCCGGCCTCAAATTACACCTGTGCTCTATGCGAGTGCTGTCGACCCAGAAATCCCCAAGGTAGCTCATCGTCGATTTCGTCGTTGTTTTCACTAATTTCCTAACACGTCATTGGGTGAGCCACCTACGTCATCCTAGTGACAGCCACGTCTGTGTCAATCAGCTTGCATACGTCAGGTCGAGGCTGCCCTTGACTTGCATAAGTGACATTCTGACAGCTCACTCGCCCTTTGGCTGAGACGATTGAAGCTCTCTGCACGAGCTCTGGTCTTGCATTTGCGTGAGAAGGTCGGTTCTAAAGCTAGACAAGGGATCTGGTACCGTTTATCCGAGTAGATTTGTTTTGGTTACGGGCAAACGTAACAGCAAGGCTTTTAGTAAAACATTTTCGCTTTAAGCAAGTCTTGTGCCCCAGCAGGAATCATTCATGTTCTCCCAATCAGGTTGTCTACAATCCTTATTTGGTTGCATGATTTGATGATTCGTTCACGTATCTGAATCGACAGCCGGTGTCAGCTAAATCAAAGCAATTCACACTGGTCATTTTCGAGGGCGTCGGTGCAACCGTGCTATGTTGGATGCAAAAGGTCAACTAATAAGGTGCTCATCACAGAAATAATGCTCAAAAGCCGAGACCTATTTTCCATTTTAAGAACACAAGGGACACCACTGAACCATCTTCTGGTGGTTCATCAGGAAAATGAGGCGCTCTCGATCGTTAAGCAGGCAAAACCAAAAAGTAAATTGACATAACCCAGAGTGTGCAAGACTGCACCCACTTGTCCTATTAAAACACACCGTTTTGTAAGTCTTCTTGGGAATATGATGATGGAGGATGGCTGTATCTTGGATAGTATTTAATGTAACATGCAGGCTAGTTCAATTTGTCATGCATTTTATTTAGTCAAGATTGAAAGATTCTCGGCTGGTACTGCGTGAGACCATCGGCCACCTGCCCTCCAACGTCATCAAATCAAGACCTTTGTTGAAATATCTGATTTCTGCAATATCATCAAGGCTAGGGCAGGTTAATGCTCACACCTTTCCTCTTCTATCGTCCGTTTTCGCTCTATGTTGTGTATTTTTCTACATGATAGATATAACGCAATGTTGCCCCTTGGGACGTTTAGCTAGCTCAGCACCTCCTTTTCCGTTCATTGTATTCTCAATTAGTTTTATTTATCAAATCCGTACCTTATGTGTGCTCCTAATGACGATGATATGATTTTTCATTGCATCAAACAAACCAAATCAAGGTTAGATTGTATTTCAAATGCAGTAGTTTGAACTCACACATTTGTGACCACCGCCCAAATTTGCTGCCTGAAGCGTTTTCATGGTCTGCCGGTAGATTAAAAGCTAAAATTCCTTGTTAAAGACACGGCAAATGCAGACTATGTTTTTAGGAATATCAGCCGCTGATAAGTCATATTGCGAAGAACCGTGAGCTTTTCGCCAAATGCACGTTTTTGAAGTCTTCTATTGATCTTAGTCTGCGTTGTCATTAATTTGTCTGATATTTGTAAGTAATAATGGGTACCTCTGAACTCCCTTTATATGTAAAGTTCAACCATTCCTATCGTCCGATTGCTATTTGGGCTCCAGTTGTTACTAGAGTAGACCTGGTACTGCAACTGATTGTCGAGTCGCAAAAAATAAGCTCAATCCGTAAACCCTGAGTTCGTTCTTCTCGCATTATAACACACGTTGGGTGCATGTTTTACTTAGTCATGGGGACCTATTTGTTGTTAAGACCACTCTCTTTAGCATTACACCAGTGAAATTGTGTTTGTCGTGAATCGTGTTTATTCACAGTCCTTAATCCGGTCGCTCCACCTCCGACACGGTATTCCCCTTTTCGCAGCATGCCGCCAGCCGCGCGGATCCTCAACTCCCCCCTCAGTCACACGGATACTTGTCTTAGATTACCCTCAAACTTAGGTCTCGATGTTAACGCATGTATGACTCACACATCCGAGGTATAAATGCACACGCGCAAACCCCACACACGACACAAGGACACTATTTTTGGTTGAGCTCTTTTTCTTCATTGCGGGTATCAGGGAAAGGTAATCGGGCCAGGGTTAACTCCGTGGCCCCGGCATGGTTCAAGGCCACATGCTGAGGCCCACAACACTTATCTTGAGTGAGTGACAAGGTAAATAGAAAATTAGGCATTAGATTTGACATTACTGCTTGCGGAATAACAGTTATGCCACGGATGAACAGCCAAAATTAAACGCTGGTAGGAATGCAGAAAAACACCTTGAAGTAGGAAGTCATTACTGCCAATTGCTGTCTCTCTAAACTCAAACCATTGCAGTGAAAAAGCAAGAGATGGTTAGATGCGGAAATTTGTGTTGAAAAAACTGCTAACTCAACATACATTCCCACACAATATAAGTCATTTAAATCCTTTAGTAGCCGGGTGCTGCAATATTTCTTGTTTAACGTAGCGTATTTGACAATATTGTTAGTTGATTCTTGAATTTATTTACGGTTGTATCCACGTCCTCTCCTACCTTTTTCTTCATCGTGGGTATCAGGGAAAAGTAATCGGGCCAGGGCTAACTCCGTGGCCCCGGCGTGATCCAAGACCACATGCTGGGGCCCACAACATATTTATCCTTGCAGCCCAATACACTAATATGGGAAATTCCTGCTAGTTCTCTCCTGGTTACTCCTCCAACGTTCCTTTCTCCATCACCTAACTTCTTAGAAGCATGTACACATGCGTTTGAAATAATGTTTCGTCAACTTGGTTCAAAAGTCAAGTAAGGAGTTATGGTTGCTCACCTGACCATTTGCGGTACTGAGTCCTTATCGAAGTCCGTCAGAGCTCTTTCTCTCTTTAAGTTAAACTTAAATCATTTAGGCGTTTATCGTCCAAGCAAATTTTTCGTTGGTAATGAACACTACAACTTCTCGAAATATCAGAGCGCCAAATGGCCTGTTTATTCTGTGTTCAAAATGTGTTACTTATTGGAAAATAGTACAATAGTCTGACAAAAAACGAAATCATGCTATTGGTTGCTAGGTTCACATGTTAACTGAAAACGACTAAGTAAACAAACTGGTGTGAAGCGCGACACAACTTCGCCACGGGAAATGAGTGGCGTACATCGCACTTATCGGTTACGGTCGAACTCAGTTCCGAGTCGAAGTCGATGGTCCACACCACGACCGGAATTCACTTTTGTCTTAAATCGGCCGTGGACGCCCGGAAATAAGGAGGTAGATCGTCTTGGAGGACTATGTGATATCAATGTAAGTGAGCATATCTAAACACCCTACATAAGATTTTGGACGTTCTCAAGGTGGAAGACCTAGAGAAATTTCGAGATGAACTTGAAAAGGCATCAGAAAACGGCAACTTCGACATGGCTGCCTTTCGAGACTTTATGATGAGCTGGCCTGTGAAGGCAAACAGTTGGCAGGTATGGCAATTAGTTCCACTTTCAACGATCACTTAGATTGAACGATTATTTAGAAAGATTGACGTGGAAGATCATGGAGTCATTTCTTGGGACGATATCTGCACGTTTATCATGCAAGGACAGTGTACAAATGATAAGAATTGTCGAAAGGTAGTTGAGTTTAAACCAGAGACAAGGGTCCATGCTTTGATTCACAAGGACCGTGTGGCTAGGATAGTACCACTGGAGCATCATGGAGCATTTATTGTCGGTAGTAATGTGAGTCATTATTTCCACGATTAAATGTCTTTACGCAGGACGGATTGCTCACAACATGGACACGGGACCTCCAGCTACTGAAAAAATCTTCATTAAAAAGCTCTCTACAGTCGCAACCTTGTGGAAAAAAGTGGTATACGGATTTCATGTACCTAAATGATATGAATAAAATGGTCGCCACTACTGGGTATGTTGACTGCCACAACGAAAGCGTCTTGATTTAGGGACAGGGAGTTGGAGTTTTTCGAACTTTCCACATGCCAGTTCTACTTCCGAATCAACGAATTGGACACTGTGCCAATGTGCCTCTCGTATGGGTAAGTTATACTTGGTTGGGTATGAAGTACGTGTTACAGCCACGTGGTAGGCTTATCACTTGACCAGATGTTGAAATTGTTTTAATTCAAACATGAAAAGTCACAAAATCACTTCATTCGGCGTCACATCCTCACGAGCCCTGTTTACGGATTTTACATGAATGGTTACTTATTTGTGATACTGCTTGAAACTGAATTGGCTAATAATCCTACAAAGGTAATGAAGTCTAAGGCAATAAATGAAATTAAAGTTTGCTGGTTCTGTTGATTAACATAGCAGCTTTACCAGGTAAGGTCTAGTGACAACTGAGAACCCATAACCGGTAGTGAGTGGTCGGGAGATGGAAATCACGTGAGTGCACTGGAGATTTGTTGATAAGATGACTGTGCAAGTCAGATGTACTGGAGGGGAGACAAGCGGTAGTATTAGATCCAGATGTGCAAGAGTCGTAGGTAGAGTAAGCTGACAGCCAGCACAATCTGGATTCGAAACCCATCTGGCTCCCATTATAATAGTTAAATAGTATATGTAGACTTCGTAAACTAAAAATCTTTATTATTATGACTCCTGAACCACAAATACTTAGTTTGAAGCGATGATTAATCTACTGTCATTACCAAGCTTAAGTAAAATTACATTTTATTTTATCCGAAATTTAGTGTCCCTGACAGATAGCAGAACTGTTAGTTAAATGTCTTTGTAAGTTTTTAGAAAGAACTGTTTCTGAGAAACTGAAATAAACGTTTTTTAATCTAGGAGAGAGTTGAAATCGCAAAAAATGAAGACGTGTTCAACTCGTGCCCATTTAGTTTTCACCGGAAACCCACGTGCTACTGATGACTGGACATCGCACAGCCTCCCAAAATATTTAGTACCACGTTTCCTTTGGTCGATTCGGCGGTATTAAGAAAAGAACCTAACGGTAGTATAGTAAATGCGTTACTGAAGTGACGAAACCAATAGGCCAAACACATTACGACGAAGCATACGTTTCCAAATTGCCTTACCACGTACGAATCTGCGGTTCCTCTCAAATGAGGTGGGGAAAACGGGGAGCAATTCTGCACAACCTTTAGTCTTCGACTACTCCGAAATTAAAATACAGGTTCAATTGCGACAGTGAATGTAGAGAATTTTTCTCAAAATGGCATTAATTCATTAAACTTATTGCAATCTATGAATTCAGTTGCACGTTAGCATGGACTAGAATCGCTGGTATTCGGATAACTGATTTTTAAAATCAAGATCCCTTTAGCGCCTTTCTAATCGGCAGAACTGAAGTCAGTTTCTTAGGTTGAAAATACAACTAAATCCTATCTATGGCAGTAACTGTAAACAAATAAAATATATAAGTTTACGCCAATTTGTTAGGCGAATTCTTTTCGCTTTGACCACGACTTTACCAAAAGAAGGCCCTAGGTCCATCGCTGCCAGTTCGCGTACTGATCTTTCGCTCATCGACGCCCAGAATGTTGGTGGTTCAGGTGGCCAGATGCATACCAAATGTTAAAACTAAGATATGATAAACTTTTCACTGATCTACTCCTCGTTCCCCCACGTCCCGTGAGCGGGTGCGGTATTGTTGTGATGTCCAGGCGCTTAAAGATCTTGTGGCAAACTAGCCATAGTGCCTACTGCTAAGCACCCTCAAAATAGTCACTGATAATCCAAATTTGGTGTGCATATCGTTGAAGACCTCAACGCAAAGTTATCCTTTACCCTTCGGGTCACCTTAAGTAAAACAAAAAATGCTGAAATCCCTAAATAATGTGCCTGCTTATAAGGCGTTTTAAGATTACATGTTTCCTTTTGGTTCCGACATGGAATCCGTGTTTGGAAGCAATCACTCTCGTAGTCACTATATTTAGCGATTAAGGTGAAAGCAAAAGCATGCATGTCCAATGTTCTACGTAAAATCGAAGTGCCTTAAGTTGGTCCTAAAATTGGTTGGATAGTTTTTCGTATATAAACTGTAGTACTCACATAGCTAAAGCTAGTTGCATTTTACACAACTAATCTAAATTGTTCTAGATTAGATTCCTTGTGAATGTTGCCCATTTTGACTTCAGAAAGTTGCCAAATTCGGATCAGCATGCTATTGTTTGGGGCGACTCTAATGGAAACGTCAGCATTCTTCTGCTTAGAGATTTTGCAGACCTACTTCGTAGATGGCGAACACCGATGCACCTGGACGTTCAACCCACAATAAGCATTGCCAAGGTTGTGCTGGATGAGAAAGTGAAATTCATCCGATGGCAAACACACGACGAGTGGGTAGCAAAGGTATGGCAAATCACCGGTGCTAATCATGCCTTAAACTAATCTCAATCTGTATTTCATGTAAAGCACCAACTTCAAGACGATTTATATACTTTTAATCATTCTCTATGCAAACCAGAATGAATTATGGACAAAAATGCAAGAGGGTTTGATTAGTTGCTTGCGTTCCCGTCGAATTGTAACCCGTAAAGCACTTCATTTGTGCAACGGTTGCAACGCTGATGACTTCCAGATAAGTTTGCTGTTGGGGATTCGTCATTCATTAAATGTGAAACCAACTTTTAGGTTCACCTAGAGGAGTCAACGGAAAAGATAATAAGTTGCTGCAATCGTGAGAACACGGCTGTTGTAATTGGTGAGTTGATGGTTAACTCTCATTCAATCAAGTTTATTGTTATAAAATATTCAAATCTATATAAGTAGCTCCAGTTTAACCATCCATTGTTTCTCGCTTTGTGTGAGGCGAATTTAATTAAGTCAGCGACCACATAATGTAAATCAATAGTACTTACGGTACTTTACAGCTGATTATCAAAAATTTGTCCATTTATTTTAGATTTACCTTTAGTTAAAAAATTTTGGGGAATTATTACAGAAGTTGAGTATTAAAGATAGTTCTTTTGTTCTAACTTTGTACCCCTTAACACCATTTAATCAGCTCTTGGTAATGTTCTTATCTATCCCAAATGGTGGCGGAGGTTTGAATCCCCATTCAGACACTTTTCATCTTCATGGCACATAGCTTCTCTGTCATGATTAACGAATCATAGGTCCCCACGCACTGCATCCATCAAATGGACAGACCATTGCGCCTTTTAAAATGCCATGATTTTATTAACTGTCGGTGAATTCCTTGCATAGGTTATTTATTGATTTTGCGCGTACGCACATCTCTACTTTCTAAACCGCAAATGCAAGTTACCTTTATTTCTATAACTTGATGGTCTTTTTCCTATGTTGCATTTTGACGAACCTTGATTCGTTTTCAAAGGTTGTGTGCCATTTTCAAGAAATCTAAATTAGGCAGCTATCCTCTTTACCCTTGTCCTTGGTGCTATGGTTTCATCGCCTAGGACACATTGAAGGATCCACGCCTCCGTTCCGGGATGAGTCCTGCCCCGTCCGCCAAAGAAGAGATCCCCCATCGAGCCAGAGTTCAAGTGAGCGCTTTGCATCTCCGCTTAATAAGCACGCCAAAATAACACAGGGTTTGGCAGTCCACACTAAAACGCCTCCATTAAAGCCCCACACTGAATAGGTCATGATAGAATGACCGTCAACCTAATCTCAAGTGTCCCTTCTTGCAAGTCTCAAATTATGTGCCAGAGTTATTGTGTAGCAGAGTAAGTACTTTGTAGTGCCTGCGTAGTTTTTCTGAAAGAGCAACTGCTATCAAGTTTGCGAATTAAGACGTCTGAACGTTGAGATTGGTGGTGTCGATTAACACTAGGAAGCACCAATTTGTGTACGAGTGATTTTTATGCCTATGAAATTATAAATAGCCCTCATAGCGTCTTTGTATTTAAATTTTGGTAGTGCAAATGCTAAATAGTTTAGTTGCTTTGAGACAAAATCTGAAATTGTAACGATTTATTAACTTTTAACAACGAGCAATGGAAACTTCCGTTAACAATTTCTTTTTGCTAAAAATAAACATTCTCTCATTAAAATGTATGGTTCAAAGCATTTATGAATGTCTTAATGTGTTATTAACGCCTATTATAACAAAAAGCCCACAAATAGTCTGATAATTTAAAATCCAAGGCTTTCACGCAACATCTAAATTTTAAAATCCTCAAATTGCATTGATTTGGGTCAACACTGTGGGCCTTGTTAGGGCTGCCCCGTACATCGCGGTCAAATTCGGAAAACGAAACGCCACAGCCACCTTCAGCATCGCTTGCTTTCGTCTGTCGGAAAGCTCATCTCCTTGGCTTTGGTTTAGTTTTCGTGAGCGCTAAACTCTAGAGCCGGCTATTCACGTCACGTCCAGCGGTTGAGTAATTTAATGTGAAAAATTGCCTACCTGTGCATTTTCTGAGTAGAAAAATCAATAACTTCGGAGACATTTCAATAACCTGGCATCAAATCAACAACAGTCTTTGCACACGTTTGGACTTGATAAAACCACATTGATTTTAATCCTGTCGAAAGACTTAATGCTAGCTCAAGCTGATCTTCCATAAAAAGTCTTCAGCCCTCGTAATTACATCCCATTTTGTCGAATTTAACGTAGGAATTTTCTGAAAACCAAATGCATTTTTATTCAAAACAATTAAAAACCCCACTTTTACATTCAGCATCTTCCAGGACGCCAACATCAAAAAGAACTGTCTTGAAAGCAGCCAGTTTCTCATCGCCTAGATTGTTCTCCAAATTTGTTGCCAAGAAGAGGATTTCTTCTGATCAGCTTGTATTCAAAATTCACAAGGGTGTAAGGGTGTTCGAATTTTCCAAAAAGAAGAACATTCTTGTTACTGGAGGTAATTTACTAACGCACAATCGAATGTATGAAGTAAGGCTAATCTTTCAACGCTAATTAATTTGGAGCTATTTTAAAATTGTAGGCATGGATAGAATCATACGGATTTGGAACCCCTACCTCACAAAGTACGTTTGTCCCATTTCCACTTCGGCACATTATTTTGCGTAGATGCCTGGTCAAATGTAAATGACATTTATTCACACACCTTTAAGATCGTCTATCGGGAAACTCATTGGCCATTCATCGCCAACACTCTGTTTGACGATAAATGTAGAGGAAGGTTTCCTAATCAGTGTCTCCTCTGATAGCTGCATTAAGGTATGTCAATCGATCTCCATGAAAATTACATTTACCGCAGTCATTTTAATTTAAAGTACATTCTTTAACTCACGCAATAATCCAACGTAGATAATTAATCAGAAGTCAACTCATAGAGACATGAAAGCTCATCACCTGATTTACAAAAACTGGTGTTTGTTAACCTTATGCAAGCGCAACTTGTCCTTGGAAGTGATAACAGAATCGCAATGATTTTAACAAAAAAAGCATATATTATCTCGCTGTAAACCGTATGTGCGTCTTGGCCATTGTGGTCTGTATTAAAGTGGCTTATTGATTGGCCGAATAAATGCCACGCACTGCCAAAAGTCAGAAGTAAAACGAAACTTTGCTTGAGAGTCCCTTGACTCTTTACGATCGGTACATTTGCAGGATAAGTTTTTGTGTATTTCTGAGTGTCAATATCTAATGGGAATAATTATGTTACTCTGTCACCATGTATCTTGTACATTTAAAGAACTAGCGATTCTGTGTTTCATAACAGGGCAAATGTGACTCGGATACCGCATCAGATTTGCCTCCTGCCACCAACTTGCAGCTTACGAGATTTTGACTTACTAAATCCGTGTTTAACTGAAATTACTTCACAAAATCTGCACCTCAAGAAATTTGATATCCACCTGCCAGTGTTTCTTTTTCAAGTTTCATGTCAGAGCCAATTAATATGTGCCAGTTTCCAATTTTGGCTTGTACCACTCAATTACAATTATTTTGTCGTTGTTTATACATTTCAAACGACAAGTCAGTTTTAATAGTGAAACGCTTTGCCGCAGACAGTTGATCCACGGGTCTAGGATCGGGCAATGAAGTCTAAGGAATTCATCTCTTACGAAACATCTTTGTGCTTTCCTGCTTCTCTTGAAAAACCCTGTTATGAACAAGTCAGATATATATATTTTTTCCATGATATTACAACCGAACGTAATTGCAATCATCCTTATTAATTTACCTACAGAAAATGCCTAACAGGTGTTCTGGTTGCTTTAGGTATGGGATCTAGACAACCAAGTTTGTCTAGCCACGTCGTCTGCTAAAGGCGGTCCACAAGCCGGAGAGTTGCAAGCATGTGCCTATTCCCCCTTCACGCGCTCCGTCTTGCTTATATCCGACGAAATATCGCTTGTTGAGCTTATGAAAAAGTATGTGCAAAAAATCCGCAATTTAAGCCTAAGCTTTTAATTAAACCTGCATGCTTGTGAATGCGGTGCATGCAATATTTGCAGCGAGTCGGTTGCAGACGAGCAGCGGCGGGCAGCGCACCAGTCCTGGGATTGCCACGGCGGGTGCCGATTCGGCAGAGATTTAACATCTCGCCAAAATACGCTTGTAGGACTGGATCAACAGTGAGTTATTTTGGCCTGCTTCCAACTTCGTCAACAACAAAAAATTGGACGTTTTGTCCCACAATTAACAGATAATGTTTGTCAGAAAAATTCTATGTCATTTTGTGGTTAATATGTTGCTAAGTATTCAAAAATGAAAATTAGAGAATAAAAACACTTTTTCAACTTTGACAAGATTGCATTTGAACAGACTAAACCAACATATCAGCCGATCAGATTTTAGTCGTGAACAAAACACGATGAGTTGTTTGTTCATGGATAATTAGGAAATGGAAAAATGCTAAACTTTTCAAACGTTTTTTACATACAGAATGTCAGTACCATGGGTTAACCAGACTCCTACGACACGAAGTCTGCATGTAAACTCAATAGACCAAAACGTTTCTCATGTTATGCGTTATCACCTAAAGGTGCTATTTTTGGAACCTGCGATTATGAGAGATTAGGTAGTAGATGTCTTCGGTGCCAATTGTCCAAATTTTTTTCTTTTTAAGCGACCTCACTTTGAGTTTACTATTTGGCATTGTGGTTCAATCGCAGTATTTGCTTCCTTCAGGGGATTACTTCGGTGGGAGCCAGTGTTAACACACAAGGCACCGGTCACGGCGTGCAAGTACAATAGAACCTTTAATCAAGTGATAACAGCCTGCAGTAATTCGGTAGTTCCTTTGCTTTATTTGTATTTAAATTTGAAATATTCTGTTTCATAACTTAATTTGTAGATTTGTGGTTCCTTGGTCTTATTTAAAACTGACAATTAGGAGACAAGGAACAATGACGTGCAAACAAGATAAGGAAATAAAAATTTTCAGTCACGTATATTTGTGTTGTTCATTTAACCACAACATGGCCCTTACACAGGATATTCCATGAACGTCTTATTTTTCCATCCTAGCATAGCGTTAATTGTCACAGCTTTTTACACCGATTAGAGAGTATTTGGAGTAGCTGGATTTAAATGAAATTAACTTTGTTGCTGCATGTCCTTCTCCACACAATGAGGCCATTACACACACGTTGAAATCGATGTCTTTCCCTGATAGACAATAAAAGTATGGAATTTCGCTACCGGTCAGTTGGTATTTGAGTTCAGTGAGGCACACGGGAGTGGAGCTGTCACCTGCATGTGCTTCGACCTGACTGATCGACGGCTCATAACTGGCGGGCAAGATGGCTACGTGCGTATTTGGAATCACCACACAGGAGCTTGCATCCAAGAGCTCAGACCAGGTATGTGAACCGTAAACAAGTTAATAGTTTTGCAAGTTCTCAGTGCTTTCGGACGCGATATTTGAATTCCACGATCTTACAAATTGACATAATTTAAAAGGAAGGCGAAAATAACTTAAAATGGGCATGAAAATATTGATATTACATATTTTGTGATAGGACGCTCAAAACCTAGCATTCAAATTCTCCTCTGTATTCAGCGCTTATTAGCCTTCTGTGGCTCAAAATTTGTTTGTTTTGCGTCTCCCAAACTTAGTTTTAATTTTTTCGCCGAATACTATCCATACCAAAAAACCACTACATTGGTTTTAAGTTTGAGTGTTACTAGAACGCGAGACATTTTTGATGATTTGGATAACCTTTAAAGGCTATAGTTAGGTTACCAAACGCAAGAAAACTTAAAACGACTGTCTCATAACGGAACTACTTTGCCTAGGATCATTGGAGTTGTAGACTACAATATTGTGATATGTATTCAAACTGGCGGATTTCCGAGACTTGAGAGGCTGATTTTGTTATTTTGTATATGAAGTCCTAGTTTAGGAGATGCAGACACAGATGTCGTTTGAGAGCTACACTTTTCTTTGCATCGAAAACGTTTTAACGCGCCTTGTCTAATGATAGACCTGCTTTTCACCTTTGTAGATTCAAAACACGAAGAGGAGTTTTCCGTGTCCGCAGTAGGGTGCATAAACATAGGAACAGTAAGGTAAGACTGGTGTAATTAACTTCAATTTCTAACCCCCTGTTCCTTGAAAACGCCTTTAGGTACATTGTATCCGTTGGTTGGGGTCAAAAAATCATGCTTTACCAAGATAATATCGAGGCTGCTCAGTTGGAGGCTGCGAGTAGCCTTCTCAAGTACCCACTTTCTCTGTGGTGTCACGACAACGCCACGATAGGGCATCAAGAAGACATCGCGGTAATGGCTATTTCGAGATGCGCAACTCTACTCGCCACCGCTGACTCTAACGGGGATATTTACGTTTGGAATGCTGTTAGCGGACACATTTTCAAACGTCTTAGAGTGCCTGCCGATGATCAAAGTAATACTTATTATTTTCAGTCAAATGATTAGACAACAAAAAAAGAGACATAACAGAACTATTATTTCTCGAAAACAGAGGCCGTCACAAAACTGCAGCGACCTTAGTTTCCTCTGGACCGTCCAACTTAATCCATTTTTGGTCCCTTTACGTGAAAGAATGCCATTATGCTTCTGTCCGTGTGGTAAGGCCTGTCGGAATGGTCAAAAATTTTAGGTGCCACTGGTGCATAAATATCTTGTCATTACTTTATAGTCACCGTTCGAGAACGTATCACCGACAGTAGTAGCTTGTGGACAGTCGATTGAAGGGCGAGACGTGATTGATTCCCATCTATTTGCTGGCGACGAATTGGGATGGATTTATGTTTGGAATATTGAAACCTACTGTCTCTCCGGACCCGAACCGGCACAACCACGAAGTAAGCCCAGATAAAGCGTGGTGCACGACTGATGTCGACAGAGCTTTTTACATTCTAAAAGCAGCCTATTTTGTGTTTTTGGAGAATACAATTGCATGGTAATTGGTTGGGTAAAAATTGTAAAGTCTAGACTTGCTCAAGATCTGGTGATTTTGTACACAGTCCCAGCGCCTAAATCGCAATTTAGCAAATAAAAAATGCACTACTTTTATATAGTCCAAGACGTAAATCAATCTATAATTTACTTCTCTTTTGACACTTACTTCTGGGAACTATATTTTATAAAATGACTCAGAGGTTTTTAGAGATAATGTAAATTTTTGATTGGTATTCTAGGGTAGTCGGTTGGTATGCTAATTTAAATATTTTACGATCTGCCAGAAGCAATTTAACTGTGCAATTTTAACACAACTCTGACTCGATATTTATTGTGGATTTACAGATCGTCACCAAACTTTTTACTTAATGATTTGATGGATTCACTAATGCTTCATTACGTAGTGTTTGGTAATAATGCGCGGAGAAACGTGCCAGGTGACCAGAACTTGCTTTATAAATGGGAGGTCTTAAATTGCATTTTTCGATTGTAGAACTGTATAAGTGGAGGACCCATGTCAGCTCTGTTGTTAGCCTAGAGGTTGTTAGTTCAACACGAACGTTAATCACAGCATCGGTGGATTGCTGCGTCAGGTTGTGGACATGGCAGGGTTCCTTCGTTGGGACATTCGGTCAACCAAGTTTATGGAACATGATCGACTTGACTACTTTTCAACACTCTATGGGGCCATTCGATGTGCTTGTCGATTCCGAGACTGTTGCCTTACCCGAGATTCAAGAAATGATTAAAGATGTCAAAGTAGAAGAAATCGATCCCGAAGCCTCTAGAAAACCAATGTTTGATATGATTGACGAACGTTCAACCAACCTTTTCGGCGACCATTCTGTAAGTGTAGATACCATCAATTATTATTTAGACCTCCTTCTACACTTTTGACTATTGTTTAATTACGGTGTTTAGTCTCTTGGAGGGGAAATTAAAGATCAAATTAGGACAATTTTAAGTGAACCAGAGAGACTACTTCACGGCGTTGAAAATCAGTGGTAAGTTCGAATGATAAAATTTAAAGAGCTGAGATTGCATACCAAAATTATCACAAATTTTAGATTTTAAAAATGATTAAGATTGCATATAAATAACAAAATGTTCAGAGTTTAGTAGGGCTTAGATTTACTCTCATTCCCAAAATATTTTTCCGTTTCACCCATTCGATCCAAGTGAAACTCATTCTCAGACATTTTCCAAAGAAACAAACATCTGAAATAAACAAACTAAAATCGAAATATCATTGAGCACCGATAAGACACGCAATTGTATTTATGACATTTTTAGATCTCAAAAACGAATTCACAAATTGGAGGTCAAACGTTCATGAATAAATTGTTTTCTTGTATGAAAATCTTTAGCTAGAATTCTAATAGGCTATACCAAAATTTTCTCATATACACCTACAAAGCAGGCTATTAATGGTCAAAAGGATTATAGTGATCATAAATGTGAATTATGTATTCCTAGACCTTTGAATGATTGCATTTTGTACATTTTAAAGACATTGAAGTTTAGATTGCAATAAAGATAATTTGAAAACCTTCACGGAATAAACATAAAATGCAGACGGGTTATGAACAGCAGCCTGAATGCAGGAGATGGTACAAGTAAAATATGTCACATAGCACCTCAGTAGCTATGCTTTGTAATGTTGTATTTGCACATCGATGTAACTTTTATTAGGTGTGACAGGCAACTGCCCACATCCAAAAAACCTGAGGGACATGGTAGGTACTTCCACAGACTTGCTCTCTATCAACTCAACGAGGAGATTGCAATTAAGAAACCGGTCAGCTATACCGATCAGAGTCAAATGATGGAAGATGTTTATGCAGCCCACCTCGATGAACCTCTGCCTTCTGCAACAATCTCATTCGAAGAACGAATTCGAAACCTGACCTAGCAAAACTTGTTCACTTATGTGGTACAGAGTTCTAAAAAGAAAGGTGGAGCACTGTATCACAGTACCAAAAGCCTTAATGATGTTGCAGCATTGACTACAGTACCAATCATGCTTCTATTGGATTAACCACTATGTTATTTCTGATTCTCAACTCATATTTGACAGCGGGAGTATCCTATGTTATCCATACATTCCTTGTATATGTCTACTGTTGCAACCCTTATTGTTTAAGATAATGCGGACGCACTGTCAAAAATTACAAGTCATCCTTCTGTTTTTTTGGCTCAAGGCGTACATATCCGAAAACGGGATTTAAAGTTTCGTGAAATTATTGTTCCGATTTTCATTTTTTAAATATGCACTAAAAATTCGGGTAAAACCTTTCATTTTTCTTATAGTTTTAATTATTAATCCATTTCTTCAACATGAAAGCTTCTGTGCCAATGGTATCACAACAACAAAATTGAATGTTGCATTTAGTTAGCGCTGATCAGACTTGCTAGAGCCATAACAAATGTTTCCGTATGCTATTTTGTTTACGTTTATAGGATATACTAAAACATCAATAGCTTATTTAAGCCTAGAAATCGCAAAGTAAGATGTTGAATACATACAGTTTTAGACATTCGGTTGCATTGGTTGGTAATTAAACTTAAATCGTGAGAGTTTGCAAACATTATCTACTTGCATGATGTCAGATGCAATTGCCAGAATTTAAACCACGATATTGGGCAATCGTAATCTTGGTAATGTGTAATCTCAAGAAAGTTCCTGAAAGGCAAAATGCTCATGCAAGAAACTCATCGATAGCTAAATAGAGAGACGACAGTAAACATAATTTTTGTTAAAAGACCGCAAAGGTGATGCAAACCTATTTCTGCAATATATTTTATAGAGATAAAGCATCCTTCCTAGAACAGTAAGAGAAATATTGTTCAATAGAGTCAAACTAGTTTTGTTATGTAGGAGAATTTGGTCAGTGTGATATAGTTAAGCGCTGTCTTTGGTGTTTACGCAGCTTTTTTCATAAAACTAAATTACTTCCTTGTTAAATGCATCATTGGTGTTACTACTTGTAAGGGCAATTGTGGATAGCAGTGCTGATATTAAGATCTACACGGGTACAAAATAGCCACAATGTGTTTAATAATCGGACAAGTGTGCGCGTAAAGGAAATTGTCTGCTGAATTTGTAATTATTCAGATAGATCAATAAAATCGCCCGAGGTAACAACATAAGCAGAAACAAAATTGTCACTGTTACTAAATTTAAACTTATAGGACTGTAACTATCTAATACATTAGTCGCTGTCTAAAAAACAGTACATGTGGCCACGTTTTTCTTTAATAAAGAAGGTAATAAAATAAAATTTGGCAACTGTCATCTAAATGCCAAGCTAATCAATTCTGTCAAGAGCCTGCACTCTAAATGAAAATCTCAGCGAAAACACTTTCCTGTGACATACTTGTAGCTGTATTTAACTAAGTAATAAATGTTTGCATCCAAGTGATACATATGTCTTATTCAATTGAAAGATTCCATCATCGGCAATGTAATGAGACAAGAGTTTTGTTTTATTTACTTGATCAATGGCGCATTGCTCGAGGTGTTCGATTATGTGAAGGTCGATTCTTCATAGCTGGATACAAATTTAATATTTCGTTTTGCCGTCTAAAATGGTTGACAGTGAAACTTACGATCAACCAGCACGTGAACGTATGTCGAGTTTCGATATTCCTATGTTGTCACCCCAAAAAAACCCTTTGTATAAGTCTTAGCATTTGCGTAAGTCGTGATATAATAGCCCTTAGTGTAATAGGGTGCTTTTCCAGAACTTGTGATATACTCTATCAAAATTTGTAAAGTGCAAGCAAGTTTCTTATGTGGTTTTGTTGGCTATTCTCAGGGGGACACGGGTGTCCAATTTTTTAACGTTTATACTATGGACATTTGTTTTGTGCAGGACATAATACGTTTGGCCATTTGGTTGTTTTCAAAAAAACCCTACAATTGCTTTTCTTAGATCCTGATGCAGAGCGCCATTCGCTTGCCGCTTTTGCCAAAATGAACTTGTTTCGAAAGAGGGGTCAATTGTGCGATGTTGTCGTAAAAGTTGGCGGTCGTGAATTCCCTGCACACCGTGTTGTTTTGGCTGCCTCAAGTGACTATTTTGATGCAATGTTTTCAAACGGGGTAAGTTGCCAGTTTACCTAATAATGTCACATATCCATGTTTGAATTAGCGGAGCGGTTATATACGATTAATTTAAATACTACCGATAATAAGTTGCTGAATCGGGTTTATCGTCTTCTGTTAATTAAATGTTTGAATCTTTTCCCCTGTGTAGTTGTCTGGCAAGCTACAATTAGATTTCGCAATCAAAATATTTTGATATTAAGATGGCTGAGTCTGCGCAACTGGAAATCGAGCTAAAGTCGGTTTCTGCAGATGTAATGGAGGCTCTTCTCGACTTTGTCTACACGGGACAAGTACGAGTTAGCATGGAAAATGTGCAGGAATTGTTACCCGCTGCTAGCCTTGTGCAAATGGAAGGCGTAAAAACCGTTTGTTCAGCGTTTCTCTTCGGGCAAGTGGAGGCTTCCAACGTCCTCGGAATCCGCCGTTTCGCAGAACTTCACAGTTGTGCCGACCTCGAGGTGTTTGCCAAGAATTACGCTGCTCACAACTTCAAAACAGTTGTTGACTATGAAGAGTTCCTTTACATGACTGCTGAAGAGCTTGTTGAACTTCTCAGCCGGGAAGATCTCCATGTGAGTATATGTTTGTGTCCCATTTACTTGACCTTTCTTTGGCCTTTTTTTGTAAAAGCCATTAGTGTTTGTGCATTTGGGAAAAGCCAAATTCTTCCCAGGCTTTCTTACATATTCTGTGATATCTTTCACAAGTTTCTGATCACTGTTTCCAATTTGTGAAGCACTAAACGAAGTACCTTTTTGTTTACCTTATGGAAACAGGCCAACAATTTTCTTACATGAATACTCCATTTAATCATGGCGCCGTTAGTCAATTTTTGTCGTTTTGAACTATGCATCATAAAATTGGCCACATGGCTTAGTTGTTTCATTCAACCATGATTGTGTTGGCTCTAAGTTATTTTGTTCCGCGTATATTTCTCTAACAAGCAAGCCGTAATTTCAAGTTTTTTGATGATGTGATTTGGTTTTCCAATCCATGCTTACGTAACTCCGAAATCTAACGTTATGGGATTTTGCTCTGGTGCGTTGTTTTTAAAAGCGCTTGTTTTGCTGCTTACATGCATCCATTTCTCGAACGCGTAGTCATCCCATGAAATCTTTCATTTTAGGCAGCTAATTTCCGGTAGTGATTATTTAACGTCAATGTCAAACACTGTATATATTTTGTTGCTAGAAGTTCTTAAATGCAAAATTTAATTATATAGTAGGGTTTGTATGGAACTACGTCCCTACGAGATCCTACTTATGTTTGCGTTCCTTTGGCTTTGGGAGACCAATAAAGTTTGATGCTAATTTAATTCTTTTTTTTTTTGTGTCTGTGTTACGAGCTCTGGTATACCTGCTTCTCCGTCAATCAAAACCCCATGTTCTTTTCAATGAGTGACGTTACGCTTAGGCTCGCATAGTGTTTCCTTTGGATAAAGATTTTATCCGCTCAAACATTTCCTAGCCTATGGACCGCGTGCAAAGTGGCGCTAGCTAGAGTACTTGAATTTTTTGAAGCCTCGTGAATATCCACTTACGTATGCAAATCTGCGGGTTTTCTTTTTAGATAGACAGTGAAGAGACCGCTTACAATGCACTGATTCGTTGGGTTTACTATGATGAAGCGAACCGTGTTATGCACCTTCCAAATCTGCTTAGCTACGTCCGTCTGGCGATCATGTCAGTGCGCTTTCTGACTGACATTGTCGACAACGAGGTGAGAATGCTCATGGGTCATAACTAAATATCTACTTTATGTTATTCAGTAGTAATGTGTTTGTTTGTTATTTTAAGCGTCTAATCCGACAGTCCCTGGAGTGTCGTGATCTGGTAGACGAAGCGAAACGTTTCCATCTTCGACCAGATCTTCGCTCTCAGATGCGCGAACGTCGGTTTCACCAACGCAACGGCGGCGATGAGTATCTCGTAGTTATTGGTGGCTTCGGTTCCTATCAAAGTCCCTCCGATTCTGTCGAAATGTTCAATCCTCGAACCCACGAATGGAGTGAACTTCCTGTAGGCCGTGTTATTACTGATGCTGTTCTACTAGCGATTTACTCATGCAATCTTGGCTCAGTTTCGAATCACCAAATCAAAACCCTTCAACTACCATTTTTTACTAATCATCTTCAGGTCGACCACTTTAGGACAATTTTTAAAATGGAGGGTGTATTTAAAGCAAGTGTTGTGGCTGTACATATGTGAATATAGGCTAGCAATTTTTGAATTCAACAGCATGGCCTATCGGAATTTTGTTTGTTTTCCACACCTCCGTTGCTCAAGTTGTCTCTTTGGTGCATATGCACGCGCCTCTACACGTCCCAATTCCTAACAAGCCAACAAGTAAATGCATCCTATTCCGCTTTTTGCCTATTTGCTATCTTTTGGAACTCACCCCAACCAATTGATTATACACTCATGGGCAATCGTTAAGCATCTTCTGCAGTGTAATAGTGTGTGATCAGTTCGAGTGCTTTGTGTCAGCCCCATGATCCTAAGCACCAACCCCCTATTCACCACCCACCAATCCCCTCTTGTGGCTGCGACTGCATTTCTTCCTTCTAACAGTCTGCAATCCAACTTTTTTTACTCCAGATAGCTCTGTTGGTGTTTGTTACACACAACTCACACTCAACGGAAAGCCCGTTAACTCAACTGCTGCCGCGTCGAAATGTCACTGCCTTGCGTGCCACTTTTGCGCTTCTCTCCGTGTGTCTGATTTGCTTTGGCTTGTTTCCGTGTGACAGGCTCCAGACAGAACTGGCAGTGGACGTACATCGATAATGCAGCAGCGATATGCATCCTCTTAATAAAGAAGGCGAACAGGGATAACATCCCAAAGCTTGGAATGCCATGTTATAGAAAGCAGCTGCTTTCATTTTGCTGAGCGAATCCCTAGAAGTTGTGTGCCTTACTTAATAGCCCTCCAAAGTATAAACCTCTTGAGGTGTTTACATGGGCTTATCTCCTGTGTAAACTCGTTGGGACATTTTTGGCCCTGGGGAATTGTATGTGGGTTGAGAGCTTTGGTGTGACCAAATTAGTAATGATTTGTGACTGACTGCTCTTGGCTTTCCTGCGTCTTGCTCGTGCTTGAATGAACTGAGGCAATTTGTCTGACTTGGGTGAACCAGCTGTTGGTACAGAATCGGCAATCGAATGACCATATGTTTCAATATTTGGTTGATTTTTTGTGTTTTTCTCTTTATCTGTTTCGGAGTCTTAGTGCCTCAAGCTGTTGCACAAGCAGTGACCAATTCTCCACTGTTGTAAACCTCAAATATTAGTTTTTCGTTACGATTTTGCCTTAATTTATGAAACGTCCGAAAATGTATGAATTGTTCACTGTTTGTTTCGTATTGATCGGTTGTGCGTTGCCACTTCTTCGGATTATTCGTATTTAGTATTTAGTTGAGCAAATTTTGACCTTTGCGTATCGAGCATGTAAGTGCACTGTCGAGTTAACTAAGCAAGTACGTTAGAAGTGCTCCTGGTGTAAATCGAAGTCATTGCAGCTGAAGTCAAATGTACTAATTTAGCAAGAATAATCTGCCATACCTAGGTCTAGTGTTATTTGCTGAAAGTGACTAGATTTTGTAGTGTCTTGATAACACTTAAAAACAGCCTATTGAAGGTGACTCCTGTACATAACACTTGCTAAATTTGACAGCGGCTGGACTAAGTCGCCAAACTGTTTGCCTAGTTAAGGTGGATAAACTCTGAATCGAAATGGCATAAAATTCAAATTCGATGAAAGCATCAATTTCATATAAACAGTTTTATTTTTATGGCACCAAATGCCCCATTGAGGCGAAGTTTTAAGGTTTTGCTGCCCAACACTGCCTGAGAGATTTGTTTAACATCCATAACATGACATACTTGTTTGTCTCGGAAACATGATACCTGCGAGGCCCATTTTACGATGGCTTTTTAACGATCAGGTTTTTAACATAAAGAACATAAGCTTGAAATGCTCAGTCACTCTGCGATGCAGTACTCTGAGTCTGTCTTTACCCTGTCGATGTAAAAAACATGCTGCACTACACAGCTCGATTCTAGTGCCTCTCTTCACATTGCCTCTAGAAACGATTTTTCACGTTCATCAATCTAAACGTGATCACTCTTGGTCGTCCTAGTCGTAATTTTGTTTTTGCAGAATCTGCCAATAAGTTACCGCTATGTGGCGGCTTGTTCGCTGGGCACCTGTGTCTACGTGATTGGCGGTTTCGATGGCAATGATCGCCTAAACACGGTCGGTCTGCTGGATGTCGCTCAGCGCGAGGACGGTTGGCGGTGGCTCGCGCCGATGCACTACAAACGGGGACTTTCTGCTGCGTGCACCCACAAAGGTAACTGTCGTGGGCACTCCTGCATTCTCGGGACTGAGTGCAGTTATGCGGCTACAGCGTTTGCCATTTATGTGCATAGGGTAGATTCCACTTCAGTCGATCGCGGAGGTGGGTGGTCAAATGCCCACAAGTCGATCTGCTTTGATGCCCTGCACTCTTGGCCACCAACCGTTGAGACGTCACTGTTGGTCGCTCTGGGGAGAAGTGCCTTGAAGGCTTATCTTAGGAATTCACTAAATTGAATAAATTTGGACCTCATTGGTCATCTTTAGTCACCCTGGTGCAATGCAATAGTGATTTGGTATCAAGCCCACCAGGGACGGCGTTTACTTATTACAGTCCAAATAGGTAATTGAATTTCTTACTCAGGTTTGATTTACGTGTGCGGTGGTTTTGATGGCCAGACGCGTCTCCGGTCGCTCGAGGTGTACCATCCGAAAATCGATGAGTGGCGGGTTCTCGAGGAGATGAATACTGCTCGTGAAGGTGCTGGTCTCGTGGTTGCGGACGACACTCTCTACTGCCTCGGCGGGTACGACGGCTTCCAGCTTCTCGACAGCATGGAGGCGTAAGTGGGAGTTTGTTTGTCTTTTTATAACTCGACAAGAACAGCGGACCTCTTGGACTCCATGATGGTGTCATCCACTCCCGTGCGGATGCGCGACCAATCGACTCTCCATGTGACGCATCTTGTTGCTAATTTGATGCATCTCCGTCACTACGTGCCGTGCTAGGGCGTTTTTGACGTCCCACACTGTCTCGCACAAAGGTTAACTACGGCCTCTTCCGAATCCAATCGGGCTGGAAACCATCTCTAATGCTGTGCCTGAAATACCACACTATCATTTATTTTGCCTATGAATCAGTTTAAAGTCCAGCTGCCATAGCCTTCCCTTCATAATTGGGCACGCATAAGAGTGGCGCAATCACGTATCACCTCCAAACCCCTATAACCTCTCACTGTGTTCACCCCCTGGTAGTTGTTCCTTAACATATTTATGAGGGCACTTGGGTGGTCGTGCTGACATGCTTTTTCCAACTGCGATAACTGGTGAATGACAAGTGCATTTGACCGCAAGCACCGAGTTTTTGAATCACAAATTTGCAGTCAGTAAAAGAGAACGGTAGCCTTTCCTGCCGCACTCCTGATTTCACTGAAGCCCCTCTTTACCGCGCATTTTAGCTTTGACCTGCGTCGAGGCACGTGGATGCAATGCAAGCCGATGTACATGCGTCGCTCCGGCGCCGGCTGCGCGGTCATCGTGGACACACTGTACGTGTGTGGGGGCTACGGCGGCGCCGAGGGACGAGGTCCACTTCACCTTGACACCGTGGAGGCCTACAACACTCGGCTGGCACAGTGGACTCTAGTTGCCAGCATGAATGTCCCTCGATGCTACGTCGGGGCCTGTCAACTCGCTGGACGCGTTTATGTGGCCGCTGGGTATGTCTTTTTTACCCGACCCTCATGCTGGGTTTCATTATTGTCAGCATGTCTGATTTGTCACATCCTCGCACTCATTTCCCGACCCCCTCATTGGCTATCGCATGCACCAATACAGGCGCTTGGGATTTGTTGCCGGATTAGTGTTGCTGGCTTTTTACAAGGAACATTAAGGGTTCTGCTACTCCTGCAACTCACGACCTGATTAATTTGTATCACCCAGTAAATAGTCGAGTCAGCTAATTTAGCTTTCATAAAGCGCGGTTCTTGGTTTTGTTTGTGATGTTTATCGCTAAGACTAGGATGCTGGTCTCTCGGGAAGTAATGTTTACTAATTGTAAGGGCATCCTGTTGTATAGCCTTATGAGTTATTCGCTCATAGTCTTTAAATTGGGTCTTAGCTTAAGCATAGAAGTAAGGTCGCAGACTTGATCTTGCGTAGCTAGTCACGGCCTTTTCTAATTGTTCCCCCTAGCTACAACGGAAACCGTCTACTCAACACAGTTGAAGTTTTCGACCCCATAGACAACACGTGGACGCTCTATGAGGAGAGTCGAATGCACAACGAGCGTTGCGACACTGGCATGTGCGTCGTGCGCTTCCTCTCCTATGCTGAACCGCCGGCAGGTGGCAGTGCTGCAGCAGCAACAACAACAACCACGCCAATTCAGCCACGTATCGCGCCCTGCTCCCATCGCCCCCGCACTGGCATCCCCACTGTAGGTGTTGGCGACGGTGTTCAGACCCAAGTTGTCCAGATTGTCACGCCTCTGCTTCAGGGACACGCGACACGACACACCCGCCCAACTCCGCCCCCCGTGGTCATCGGCGCGAGTCGACGAGCCCCAGCGATGCCGTCGCGACACCTCCCTGAGTCCACCGGGGCACCACCGATACCTGGCAGAAGAGTGATGCCAGTCAGGGCTGCTGTGCACGAGCCCATGCCAAGCAATCCTCAAATGAGCAGCACTGCTGCCAGGTCGATTGATAATTTTTTGGATGAAGGCGAAAACGAAGATGGTGAAGGAAGAGGTTTGGCAGAGGATGAGGAAGAGCACCTAGAACGTGACTCTGAATCACCGGCAGAATTGTTAAATGTAGATTTGGAGTCACTCACAGAGTAAGCACTAGTTTCATTAAACACGCGATTATCGCCGCTCTGATTCATAAAATCCACCAGCGTAAGACTCCGTAAACCTTTAAAAGCCATTTGTTTGCCAATGTTGAAAGCTAGCAAAACCGTGCTTTTACGACGCGATTGTGAGTCGGCATTCAACGAGGCGTCTACTCATTAATGCACACAAGTGAATTTAATCTCTAATTTAATTTTTTGTAAAAATGGAGCTAATCATGCACTTCACCCCGAAATATGTGATTGCCTATTAGACTGTTGCTTTCAAACCCTTTTCGCTTAAATCCCCTGCTTTATTTGGGCGTTTTTTTTAAATCCTGCCATTTCTCATCACTTAAGCGCACCGGTCGTTTGTTACTACCATCCGAATCCCCACGAAACCATTCCTCCCTTGCCATTTGTTGACGACGGCCGCTCAAGTAACGCGGTAGGCAGCGGCCCTGACTACCAGCATCCCGATGGTGCCGCAGCGGAGGAAGCTGGTCTTAGCCTGGCTTCCTTGCGACCCCCTTCGGACATCGTCGGAGAAGATGTCGAGGCGTCTGATGACGAACGGACTCCAAACCTGTCCTCAGTCCCATCTCCCCCACAGCAGCCACTCTCAGCCCCTCCTCCCGGACTGGGCTCGATCCTCGAGGAAATGGACGCTAATCTTCAACGACGGATGACTTTCCTGCGTGGCAGGGAGTCCTTTGGTTCACGAGATTCGTCCGTAGCGGGAGAAAACGGAGGAGTTGATGGTTTTGAAGAACCGAGGGAGCCATTTAACATTGATGGCGAGCATGATACCCAGGTAGACATGCCGGTTCTTTTCACTCTGAAAGTTGATTTTCTGCGCGTCAGAATACCCATTTGCCCGTTGGATCCTTGAATATGCATCTTCTATTAAGCTTGGCGAGAGTTTTAATTTGATTTTTCTGCCTTGAAGAAGTGGTTTGTGTGCTCAGTTGCAACTAGGAAAACATGTTGAGCTGACTAGAAATGCTGCACATTTGCTTTATCCAACACCTATGGTCTTTAATTCATTCAATTGAATTGAAGAATTGATATCACTGACTTCCAATTTATAGCACTTGGGAAGGCCTCCGTCCTCATCAGCTTTGCCCTCTCCCCCTAACGATAATCTACTTTGGATTCACCGTCCCAATCGTGTACACTCCGCTCCCAGCCAATCGGGCGAAAGCGAGCCAACCTTTTGTCCCACCCCTACAGTAGCAGCGTCCGGAGTAACAATTGAGCCAGACTCCCGTTCTGACGGTGAGGGGGAAGAGGGAGAGGGTGACGGCTTAGGGAGAGCAACTGCTACCGACGTCATGGGGGAACCTGCTGGCAGTGCGTCAACGGACCTCTCTCCGTCCCCCCCAACTCCAGTCCCAATTGACCCTCGGCTAGTCGGTGATGAGTAAAATCACGTCGGCTCAATGTCAGCTGATCTTGTGCGCCGTTTGTATATATTTACATTGACTTCTGCATCCATTGTTTTATCTCTTGTCCCACCTCCACTCTACCATGCGCGCACTTATACGTAAGACAATCTCGTGCTTAACTACCTGAAATAAAGCAAAAAAGTACTGCATTATTATCCTCTTTTTCCACGTCTTTACCGGACGTCATCACCACTTTGCCAGACCGTAGTCCTTAGTTTTAAATCGAACATTTAATTGCGGTTCGTGAGTTGAGCGTTCGTTTCAATGGGTGTACAAGTAATCTGTAACGCGTAGTCTGCAAATTCCACTAAAATTGGCGTCTTTACCCTTGCTTTGCTATCACAGGTCGTTCAAAATCCATGTGAGGTGACTTGACCTTTTTGTATTACAACGACCCTAGTTTGTCATACCGATATCAATTTGTAAGACTGTCGGATATTTCACTACGAGCGATAAGTTACTTGAACTGCATATGTCAACGTGGTCGCTGTTAGATAACGGTAATGCATTATAAAATATGCGATTCATAATGAAAATACTTGGGAATAGCACCTTCGTAAAAACCCAACAATTGTCCGCAGAAAACTAGCCGACTGTGGCATCAATGAAATTTAACGTAAGACATGCACACGCTTCCCAGGTGTTAATCGGTCCGTTGCGGAGATATCTTCGAAAATGCCGATATAGGTCAGAAAATACGAAAGCGCCACTACAACCTTATTTTATTACAGGTGATTATAAACAGCCAGGAAGAGGCAAGTACGCATCCCTCTTCCTGCCAAATTACGTATTTATTAAGTGACGCCTTACGGGTTTACTGCCTTTTCAACCTCCAATGAGTGCCATAATGCTAAGAAACCAAAACGCTGCCTGGGACAGGTTTTTAAAAGGATCTACTTCGGGAATACTCTCCTCAGTATTTGTCTGGGTTTGTGAGCGCGGTATACCGCATTCATGTGGCCGATTCGCCTTCACTTTCCGCGGCCGGGGCGTCATTCTTGGGTGTCGGTGGCAGGCTTCGCCGCGCCGTTCGCACTGCGAACCCTCGTCAGAGTGGGCGTCGCGTCCCCACGCAAACGCGCGCCTCGCAATCAATGCAAATGGGCAATTTCGAGGGCAAACGTGGCACGCCTGCACAGCAAAAACACCCAAATGACCTCGTGTGTGCGTTTTTGTGACGTGGAATTTGGGTAATTGCGTACAGTCTTTGTTGCTAAAACTAGGTAAGGCCTCAACAAACATAACGTGGTTAGTATTTCAGAAAATCTTCCGATCATTTGTTTGCAATAAGAACAAGTAAAAATGAATGAAATAATTACACAACGGCATTTAAATGCCATTAATTTCGCGGTTTGATGAAATTGCATTTAGACAGTTGTATATTACTTGTTTCTAGAGCTTCAGGGAGCCCTGTTAAAACGTTGCTGAAATATGTAAGTACGATTACCTCCCTGAAACTAGTTTTGTCACTCATATTTGTCTTCTTTATTTAAAAGCAGTAATATGCAGTTCTGAAATTAATTCACATCAAATCGAGGCTGATGCTTACATTTGCACTCATCCGTTATATGGGAATTGCGTTTTTGTAATACCTGAAATTTTTGGAGCATGCATCTGCTTTACTCGAACTCCAGATTACTTATTCGAAAGCATACATCGTGCTACTTTGATCCGACCCACAGTTATCCCTAGGAATGAAAAGCACTTTGACGAAATGCGTAGGCTGAGGAATATCACCAAGATCAGTCCAACCGAGTCGACGCAAATGCTACTAGAAAATGGTGAAAACGGCATTGTGCTAGTTTTAGTAACTTCTTGATATGTAAACTAATTAATTTGAAAGCAAAATTTAAACCACATGGTACTTTGGACCCGCTTCCCCGTAAGAATAGTCTGGCCTGACATGTCGGGGATACGTCAGGTCGTCAAAATTTACGCACGCTCATGTTAACAACGACCAGAGTTAACTGAATATGCTGACTGAATGCTTGTGGAATTACGCTCACAATTCTACCTCCGTCATGTAAATACACAAATCATCATCACGTTGTCACCACAATGGCTCGAAAGACAAGCATTGGTTGAGTTGTTATTGTTGTGAAACGTGCCGATTCACACTCGTTAATCCGGTCGCTCCAATCTCCAACACACAGCTTTTCTTGAAAGCATGTCGTCAGCCGAGCGAGACATCAACTCACACCGCAATTTCGCGAACGAGCATTCGGGACTATCACCACACGTGCTAACTTTCGCCTAAGTCTCGATGTTAGCGCATTTTTGACTCATGCTATTTCACACACACACACACACACAAACGCCACACAGGACAAGGACACGAACCAGGTTGAGCTCCGAAGTAAATGGATGTGTTTACGTCCTCTCCGGTAGCAGGGTAGGGAGACATCAAGTCACACCTCGATTTAGCGAACGAGCGTTGGGGATTATCACCACATGTGACAACTTTCACCCAGGTCTTGATGTTAGCGCATTTTTGACTCACGCAATTTCACACTTCTAGGCTACGCTTACAGACGCACAAACGCCACACACAACAAGGACACGAACCAGGTTGAGCTGTGACGCACATGAATGTGTCCACGTCCTCCGCTAGCAGGGTAGCGTAATCGGATCAGATTAAACTCAGTGGCCCTGGTTTGGTTTGAGTCAATATGTTGGGGCCCGCCGCAACAGTTTCATGACTATAAATGGGGTTTTTAAGTAAGGAACTAAAGCAAAAAACTTAAGACACTTTAGCGCATTATACTTCCCGACTGACTAGTGAGAACTGAAATGAGGCACGAAATGGCACGATACACTACTGCGCGACACTTTAGTGGACAGGAAGTTCTAGGTTTCACGACCTTCTGTTTGGCGGTTGTCCGTGGCTTTGAATGGGTCAATAATGTGTACAAATGGTCACGCTCGAACCGATTATGTTGCAGTTGGACGGAATACAGGTACTAGAACCGAGATTCAGGAACCTTAAGACAATAGGAATAAGTGGTCCCTTAGATCTGACGATTTAGGCCATGATACGGGCGGCTGCAACGAAGCTTGTCGCTTAGCAAAACTGACCAATAATCACAGCCACCCGGGAATGGAGTGTTTTAATGAGAGAAACTATAATTTGCCCTCGTACTTTATGTCGCACTCGTTCCAAATTTGTAGCGATTCGACCTGAAGTAGTTTTGAGGCGCCCACTATATTGTTGCAGTAAAAATAAGAGCAGTCTGAATGATGCATTATCCCGTCGTGCAAAAAAAATACGTTATACAAATAAGAATGGTCATGATTACATCGTTCTAGCAAGCTCTACAGTACAAAAGCAAAACGCTTTCGATGCTCAAAAAAGACGTCAAGTTAATCTAATGTAAGACAAAAAACACTTAAAGTTTCACCAAAATTCTCACAGGCATGTAGAAACATCGACGAGATAAAAGCGCAAAAAGTTCACAACTTTCACGAAGAGCGTTAGTCGGCCTTATCTTTGGTGGAAGTTCGAAATAGCGCCTTAGGTAGAAGCCCCGGTTTAGCAGGGGCGGCCGGTTTCGACGCCTCTGAAGGGGTTTTTTCTGACACCCCCGAAGCACGTTGCTGGGGTTTCACGTCAGGAGTAGAACGTCTGGGAAAGGGGAGATAACTGGCTACGCCTGAAACCACGGATTCTCCTGCCGAAACACCACTGCAGATAGCATCCACACCAAGAGACACGACGCTTGTCACACCACACCAGATTCCTGATCCTATTGCATCAATCATCTGGCTTGTCTTGCCCATTATGCCAGGACTTGATGGGATATTTTTGGGTTCGTTTCCTATACATGTACGCCAGTGGGACTTCATCAAATTTATGATAAAAAAAGCAAGCTGCCACAAAGTAGGTAACTAAGTATCAACGGCAAATTCACAATAATAGTGGTATACTCTGCCCTCACACCAATCTAGTTGATTTTATTGAAGTCGGATAGGGTATAAATATAACTTAACCTATTTTTCGAAAAAGGGACGGCAATGACCCAATTTTTTTGTTCTTCCCTATAATTTAATTTTTGAAAACTCCATCAGTTAGGCAAATATATTACCCTACTTTAAAGTGATACAATCCACATTAGCCCATTGAGAAGCATGCTTCTAAAGAATAACTAGCTGTAAATGACGAAATTTAACTTTTGAACCATCTAGGAAACAATGTGAAATGGACTTAAAAATAAATCTAGGAATAGTATGTCATAGAAGCTATTAACAAAAAAGAATATTTTCAGGAATAAAACACCTTTAAAAAGTGACTTTATCAACTGACTTAGGCAAAACAGCAAGTGAAGACAAAGACTATGGATCAGATTCTCGGTAAATGCAGGGCTGTCCTTTACAGAGAATAAAGTATATGCAAAATATAACATGACCATAAATTGGATTGAAATCACTCATCTTAAAATATACAACTAAATATCAGAGTACCACTAGCGACGGAAATCACAAGGAGAAAGGACAAAAGGGTTATTAGCAATACCTGACGGTACACAACGTGCATTATAAAAATAGTGGTAGATGAGAGCAATAACAATATCACTTCACATCTTGGACAGGAAATTATAGAGCATTTCGTAAATAGAAGTTACCTGCCGACTTGGCCTCTTGGGTATCTTTAGAAGTATTTCCGTAACAGAAGCGTTCCTCTGTATCAACGTACTCCGTAATAGGCATTTTTAACCTCTTTTCGTCAACCTACAAACATTACATGCTCAAATTTTGGTTCACCTTATTCTTTCCAGAGCTTTTAATCATTTCGTCCGCGTCAGATTTTCCAAGATTCCGTCTATAAGTATTTAAAAAATGAACATTATTAGATCACAAATGGTTCTTAAAAAGGCATACTACAACATAGAAAAAAGCGTTAATAAAAACTCTGCATTTCAGACTCATAAAAAAAAAACAAAAAAATCCAAAGGAAATCCATGCAGTCAATGATCACGAACAAACAAGCTTTTATACGGATATGACAACATTTAACTCAAGAAAATCTAGTTTAGCCCTATACATTGACGATAACCATCACATATGAGAGAACACGACAGAATGAAATAAAAAGTGCACAACGCAACGATATTTGGTTGCATGATTAAACAACCTTCGTGTTAACTCAACAAAATTCTACATACTTAAACAACTGGTAAAAATTACACCAATGTTGATTTAAGCACATAGACATGCTACCATTTTTCAGTTTCCAAAAAAATAATAATGTGTTGTCAAAAAATTACGAAGAAAACTGAAATGGTATTTAAGTGCTAAAATTTATAATGGGCTAAAAAATTTTGTTCTTAGTTATTTAGTAAGGTGAACCATAGCGTTCTCAAAAGAAGGTTTAACAATATTACTCTAAAATGTTTCGTCACAATCACCCAATAATGATTATTTCGCAATATAATGAAGTTGACAACAGTGAATGTAAAAAATTAGCAATACAAGCATTAAGAAAGTAGGAAAAAGTGCATTCTTAATGAAACTGCCGTTTTCGAAAAAGAATTAAACAATTTTTTTCGAAAAAATCACATATATTTTCGTTTACATCCGTCGTTTATATCACGATAAAGCACCTTAAATCTAGTGGGCGTCAATTCTCTCCGAGAGTATGGTTAAGCTGTTGAGTGAATACGCGTTTCATAATGATGTACCTAGCCAATCCAACTTTTCATGCGTTCAAAGGGATCATATTGAAGGTTGGCAGTCAAATAGAAACCTAAATTTTCGAAAATCACTAAAATGTTGGTGGTGCAACCCAAGTAACTGGACTCGCAGAAGAGAACCTGATGGATTTTTTCGGGTTCGATAAATAAATACGTACCTTCCCATATTTCACCTGACACCTTCAAACAAGAGCTTATGTGTTCATACATATGCTGTCTACCTGTAAAATCGGCAACAAATCAACACCTAGGCATAATTTGATTTTCTGTTCACTGCTTGCGGTGTTCTGTTCAGTCGAGTGCGAGTGTCGCTACTTAAAAAAATATTTTTTTTCTTTGGTAATGTGAGACTATCTGCTGTATCCTAAATATTCCCACCACCTCACATATGCCTAATTCTGTAAATATACACTGCAATTTTATTTAAAACTACATGCGGCATATTTAAATTCAAATGCTGCTGCAACCGATAAATTGGGATATTCAAGCCCAGTTTGTGAATATATATCTTATTATCAATCAAATATATGATCTAAACAATATTCATCAGGCAGATGTTAATTATTTTAGCTCAATGACTAAATCAGATTTACATGTATGAATTTTGTCGACGACACCCTGCAAAAATACCCGCGATTTAAACAATTATCCTAACTAAAGAACATCCGCCATATTTTCTACCTTTTGCGAAAGCAATTTAGGTCAAGCAGAGAAGTATTGTGGAAGTTGCCTTCACTTCCAGCAACTAAGGCCATTTTCTAAGCGTTCGGTTCAAGGTGTGACCATCTTTTCAACTGCATGCTTAACCATGCAAATGAAGAAAATTTCAAATCACTCATCCCATGACAAGCGATCTCGTCAAGGAAAACTGACGTCATTGCTATTACAAACATGTGCAGAAAAACAGGAACCTAATCACCAAAACGTTACAATTACTTATCAAGTGAGTGGTCCAGTTTAAAGCCACGATTAAGTGTATAAATGGATTATATATGATTACGTTCCAAAGAAAAGCAAGACATCTAG